ATTCGGACTGCTTCCATTTGGCGTGGCGCACGTTATTGACATTAACGGACGGCTACGGCTACGGATGGTCGTCCATTTGGACTGGACGCATGGATTTCAATCCGTTTAGAAATCCAGAGCAGGATATTTTTTTACCATTCACGGAACGATTTTGGACGATCATCACTCCATTTGGATCAATGGACGTATCATCAGTGGGCACCTTTAAAAATTAGTAAGTAGGCTCTTTTTCTTGAAGTTACTCAAGTTCAAAATCAGGAAGATCGTTGGTATTAGTTGATTTCAAAAATAATTTGCGCGAAAAAGCTTTTGGTTCACATAGTGGTCGAGCGCATCCAGATGGTGTGGATGGTATGTGTAATAGTGAAATTTGTCGGCTTAAATTATTCAAGAATTCTTCTGAGCACTACCCGTGGTAGATGCGATGGAATACGCCCAGCGATGTTACATCTCTTCGCAGCGCCAGTAAGTTAAGCCGATTAGAAAGAACTCGGTCTACAAGGATTTGGGTTGCTCTTCGCTGGATGCGGTTAAGTGGAAGGAGCCGGAGTTGAACAGCTTGCGCCCTCCTTTCTGCCAAGGAGGGTCGCGTTCGTATGCGGCTTAGAGATCTCTAGTTAGATCGTTAATCCAGTTCCTAAAAGGTTGGGTTTAGTGGGTAAAAGTCACCACATATCCACGCAGCCGGCTGCGTGGTATGCTATGAGCATTCCCAACCTCCCTCCCCCGCTTTCCGGAGGGATGCCCATATTTGCTTCGGGCTCAAAAAAAAAGGAGAACATTATTTCATGTGATAAGCCTCACATGTGCTATGTAGGAAATACGTATAAAATATAATTTCTATCATAAATTTTTAAAATAATGTTTCTTAAGCTCTTAATTTATATTCCACGTCAAGATCTAAATTTTTTTCAACTATACTATAATACAATCAAAATTAAAATCAAAATACGGTTAAATGTATTTATTTAATATAATGTACACCAAATTTAAATAAGCTACGCGGACGCTCTCAGAGAAAAGCCTCTGACAGCGGCGATCGGACTGAAAGACATACAGACAAACAAGGTTGTAATTGTAATAAGACTTCCTCTTTACTGAATACGGATTACAAAATATCAGACAAGGGTCAGACAGAAAAAAGAACACATTTCAAATGACTACTTTTACATCAATATGTTACATCATTTAAAACATTATAAATCTATAAACAACAATCAGCTGCCTACAAAAACAATACAATTTTTTTACAAATAATCAATATACATACAGCAATTACACTACAGACTACAATTTATTTTAAAAACTTAACTACGTTTTGCAGATAAGAGTAATCCACGGGTACTAAATGTAATTATTAGACTTGCAACGAATGTTCGTTCACTGTTCAGTATTCCGCCTAGTTGGCTACTTTTTAAATTTTTTTAAATAGCGAATACTTTAGTAAAATGTTTTATTGTAGTCAGATAATTGGTAAAGTAAAAATATTGATTTATTTTAGCTTCCGAGAATAGACACTGAATAAAAATCAGTACTTATTTTCCGGCTTTAATATACGACTAGGAAACCTGGAGAATATTCGGTGTTCGGCGTGTGGCCGAATATAATATTCGTTGCAAGTCTAGTAATTACTATTTAAAACACTCAGGGCACACTGAGTGACGCCAATGCAATGGCATCAACAATATTGATCTGGATCACGGTCCATGCCTATTTCTTATAACATCTCTTCTCTGGGTAAATAGTCTGCGTTCCATAATATTATATGAAAGAATCATCGGTATTCAATGTAAACAATTTAGTAGTTAGTACAGTTAATTACAATTTATCGCCTGCATCAGTCTTTTTTTAATTTTAATTTTTTAAAATTTAGAAGACTAAAAAATAGGACACAATCAAATTGACATCTAATGCCTAAATACTTAAACATTGTTTAATTTTAATATGCTGTTAACTATCGTGCGTCTCTATCAGTTTAGGTCAAAGTGACTCTGATACAACAACAAGACTTCTTAAAATTCAACATCTTAAAATTGAATAGTGCTTGAGTATTTGATCATGTCTTTTAGTGACCAGAATTTCAGATCATAATTTCATATTCCAATAAACGAATAGACGTGAAAATCTCCAGACAGTGTAAATGTGTGTGCAAATTTTCACTGTCCGGGGAAATAATAACACATCAATACAAATATGTAATAAAAAAACAAATCAAAAATAAATCAAGTCGTAAAGTCAATAAGTATTAGAAATTTTTTCGTTTGTAACATATTGTTGTATTATTTTAAACCTTAAACATTGCAAAGTGTTTTAAAAAACAAATAAATCTCCAATCCAACTGCAGTAATTAGATAGCAACTACAATTTCGTATGTTTAAAATAGCTTAATGCTTTTTTTTAGAAAGACGAAGAGTGACAAACGAGCACACAGTCCACCTGATGGTAAGTGGATGCTGTGGCTCATAGACTACATCTATCTTCAATTAAGAATCAAAATGCAGATGCACTGTCACCCCTGAGGACTAATATTGAATGCCTCGTTTCCAGTAAAAACGGTCCCCGATTCTCTACACTCGCTATACGAAATATTGTGAGAGCGTGATCCTTCCCCGGTCGAAACGACCCATTCGTGCTACAGCCATACTACTTACAGGTTCCCTGTCCGTGAAATAGACACAATAGTTAAACAAGTGAAATGTTTATATATGATTCATGGGTTAGGGAAAGGGTCGAAGAAATAATACTGCAGTGTAGTTATGACCTACCAGAATCTATATAAACCATATCATCCATGGTTGTTTTAAAAGGTGACAGAAGAAAATAAAACAGGCGATGGGCAGAAGCATATTCCTGATAACAACAAAACATAATACTAAGACAGCGGTCGTCAAGAACGGTCTACATTCTAATGAACCGATAGTGAACAAACGTAAAACAAATTGACAATCGTAATCTAATTTAACTATTTATTATGTAACCATAAAGAAAATACAAGGAATTTTATTTTACATAAGGATATTTTACTTTGATTCCTATTAATTGCAGTTTTATTCTAACTAAAGGCGTGATGAAAAAAATTTTATAATTTTGTTTGTCGATAAAGCAAAATTAAATTTTCATTCTTCTATTATGTATTATTCTATATTCCATTTTATTTTATTATTCTAATTGGCGTGCCTGAAGTGATTGATTCATTTGTTTACACATTTTATATTCAAACATTACATCCCACTGCCCGTGGGGCTTCAATGAAGCGTATACATCATTATACGGTCGCTTTACCCCAGCTTTCTGCGTGTGTATAAAACTAGAAAAATTTATTGTCAAAGTGACAGCGACATGCTGACGGCGCTGCATACATTCATATAACAACTATGTTTAAGACATATTTAATACAATTGACCTATTTCCTTTAAATAAAGTAAAAAACGGTAATCCCATGGAGTGAAAAAATAAATATGTACACATTTGTTCAAACTTAATGGCGGCTCGGAACATCGTACGTTCCGATGCGCAGAACACAATTTTTGGGTATCAGCGGGATGTAGAGGGACGTGGTGGCGGGGCACATCCCCGCGCGCGTTGCCTCGCGCCCTCTGTCTCATACGCACTCACGCGACGCGTTTGCTTTTAGTGTTTGAGTTACGTACACTCCTGCTTACGTACAGTTGAGCCCATAATTTGTTACTGTTTGTTAATTGTTTTGTTACGTTTTTTTTTTGTTTGTTTTTGTTCCGTTAAGTTTTTATTGTTATTGACTGTTTTGTTTTCATCTGTGTGTTACACACATTAAGTTTTAGACTGTTGTTGGTTGTGGGAAAGTACTTTTATTATTTTGTTTAAATATGCCTCGCGGACGATACAACGTTTTACGCAGGCAAGCCAGAAAAATGGTGTATAACGTGTAATTTATGAAAAAGGAGAGTGAAGACGGCGTCCAAATTCCTCTATCTCTTTCAAAAACGAGCCGCAGCAGCTACAGGCGTCTCACTAAGGACTGTACAAAGAATAGCTGCAACAGCAAATGAGTCGGAGATGGTAGCCGTCTTTTGTACTCCTGGCAAAAAAAGGAAGGGAGTCAAGAGAGTGACGAATATTGACGGCTTCGGCCAAGGTGTCATCAAAAGGTGCGTGCACAACTTTCACGTGACTGAAAAAGAGTTGCGACACTTAAACAATTACAAAGAAAATTAAAAGACGACATAAATTTCAACGGTTCTGTAACCAGCTTAGGCCGAATATTGAAACAATTAAGGTTTCAATGGAAGAACACCCAAAATGAGAGAGAAGTATTAATAAAGCAGTCTATTATTCGTTTACAGCGCGTTGAATATCTGCATAGTATTACATAATATCGCTCGGAAAGGCAGACCCATTATATATACCGACGAGTCTTATGTCGATTCTTCCCACAGCATGTCAAAGGCTTGGGGAGATGGGTCACAAATGGGAGTTAAAAAGAAAATTTCGAAGGGTCAAAGAGTTGTAATAGTGCACGCGGGTTCTGAAGCCGGTTTTATACCCAACGCACTTTTAATGTTTAAGGCGGGTACAAAAACCGGCGACTATCATGATAACATGAATTATGAAAATTATGAAAAATGGATCAAGAATCAACTCGTTCCAAATTTGCCAGCAAATTCAGTCGTTGTTGTAGATAATGCTTCTTATCACAACAAACAAGAAGATCCTGCACCTACCTCAAACTCAAGAAAAGCAGACATGCAATCATGGCTTCGTGAAAAAAATATTGAATTTGAGGAAACAATGCTGAAGCCACAACTATACAAGTTAATTGCGAAGAATAAAGAACGCTTCAAAAATTTAACATCGATAAAATATTGAAAGAGAATAACCACTTAGTTTTACGCCTCCCCCCTTACCACCCGCTTTAAACACCATCGAGATGGCATGGGCAGCAATAAAACAATACGTCGCAAAAAAACGTTAACTGGAACGTAAATTCAGTCATGGAATTGGTCCAGCAAAAAGTTAACGCAATGGGGGAAAATGATTGGGGGGCATTGTGCCGAAAAGTGATCAAGATAGAGGAAGAGTACAAAAAAAGTGACGTTGTCGTTGATAGATTGACGGACGAATTTATAATCCATGTCAGCGACGATGAATCAGATACCGAGTCTGAGGAGGAATCGGATTCCAGCGAAGACGAAGGAAGTGATGTTTCCATGGAAGCTCCTTCTACAAAAAAAAAACAAGCAGACGTTTTTATGGAAGGAATACAGCCCTTAACTTAAAATGAAAATAAAAACTTTATATATTGTTTATAAAATCTGTTTTATTTTTAACCGACTTCAAAAAAGGATGAGTTAATTCAACTGTATTTTTCTTCCTTGAACCCTCCTCATACTTGCTAACTGACATTTATGTACTATATGTACAGAACTTAAAACACAAAACTTTCAGTTATTAAAATAATTAAATTGAGCCAAAATTTTTGTCAACTTGACTGTACCTGCGCGCACCTGCACTCGCAGCTAACTTCCGAACCGCCATTAAGTGTGAATCGAATAATAGTAAACAAAAATCTTAAAATAATTAAATAAAAAAAACTTCAAATATTGATAATTGACAAGGATATGTGCAGTCTACCAATCCCCGCTATAGGGCGTCAGACACATTTACAAACACACGTTTATAAACAGCACCGTACATTCATAATAGGTCGGGGGAAGTTTCTTCGTATTTTTTTTTTTTGTATAAAATTGAAGAATCTGTTCGGTTCTACTGTCTGTATCTAACTGACATTAATAAAAAGAAAAACATTGAATTAATATGAACTTACCTACTAGAACTATTTCAAACAAAAAATGTGTGTGTTCGCTATTCTGTGTTCGCGCGGTTGGTTTTTTTTTATCATAGAATAAACATAAGTAGAATGATCAGTAGGTAATAGTATATTGTTTTGTTAAATAGGTAAATTGTATCGAGAACAATTTTTAAATTTTGTCATTTATTTTGTATATTATATTTGCTTATTTAATATAATATTACATACTATTATTTAACAATTACATTTTAATGATATTTTCATCTGAATATTCTAAAAGATATTTACGTCAAATATAAAAAAACATACTAAATGTATGTTTAACAAAACTTATTAATGTAACATTTAAATTACAAATATATTTTTTTAAATTAAAATAAGAGTCGTTCATTAATGCTGGACACGCGAGAGTTAAAAATGGAAGATTTTATCCCACTTTGACTATGATGTGGAAATCTAAAAATAAAATAAAAAACTAATGAGCAGACTTAAATATCAAAAAACTTAGTCTAATTATGATAACTTATATATGTTTCTACAAAAAAATGTGTAATATATTCGTCCTATACTTAAGTACCCACAGAAATGTCGCATCTGAACAAATTAATTTCATAATCTATATTCCATGGCACGAGATGGCGTCTTAGGAATAATTTGTTTTATTACATACATACATACATACATAAACACTCACGCCTGTCACCCAGAGGGTAGGCAGAGACTACGGACTTCCATTTGGCACGATCCTGACATACCTCTTTCGCCTCCTTTACATCCATATATCTACGCATACATGCTCGTCGGTTAAGGGTATTTCTAACGTGGCCCCTTTTCAAAATATCGCCAATTTGGTCGATAAACTTTTTTCTAGGGCGTCCCTTCCCGACTCGGCTGTTCACATCTGCCATATAAATTTGCTTTGTCACTCTTTCCTCATTCATTCTTTCTACATGACCAAACCACCGAAGCATTCCTTTCTTAATCCTGGTCACAACATCATCTTGCATGCCACATTTATCTCTTATCACGCAATTTCTCACCCTGTCATTCAGATTCAACCCTAGCATACTCTACTCTACTTTCGTGCTTCTTCTGCCACACCCAGCTTTCACTACCATTATTTACATTACATTAGGGACATTAAATTAGGGACCAACACAGCATTGTGAATTGCCATACGTGCCTTTTTTGACACATTTTGACTCTTCACAATAGAGTGCAGGGCCCCATTTACTCTATTTCCCGCATTCACTCGTCGTTCTATATCCCTATCATATCTACCATCCCTGCTAAATACACATCCCAAATACACAAACTCATCCACTTGCTCAATTAACTCTCCTTCTATTCTTATTTCACATACCGTTTTTCTTTCTTCTCTTTCAAAAACCATCACTTTCGTCTTACTTGCGTTCACTTTCATTCCCCTTTCTTTTAATTCCCAGTTCATTAATGTAACCATCATTTGCAACTCAGCCGCCGATGACGCAAATATGACTTGATCATCGGCATACAAAAGGCATTTGACGGTTAACTCGCCCATTCTTAACCCACATTCTTCATCTTCAAAGTTTGCAAACACCTGTCCATAAATAGGTTGAACAGCCAAGGGGAAGCTACACAGCCCTGTCTGACACCTTTTTGGATGCCAAACCAGTCCGAGTAGACCCCATTGATCCTGACACAAGCACTAGAGTCCCTATAAAGAGACCTTAATGCCTGTATCAAACCAGCGCTCATTTATATCATATATATTGTTTTATTATTAAACTATAATACATTTTTTTATTAATTAAGTATCTTATTAACCGATGAAAAGTAATTCCTTGGTTTTTACTGACATTTTTTGAATTATTTGTGCAATATCTAAGTACACACGACGGCATATTTTTAACAAGAGATTTTTTTTGAATCAACACGTGACAACTCAACAAGCGCCTAGCGAGTGACTGATTAAAGTGCGGTGTATGCACCGCAGTTGAATGGAACAGAGTAGCTGAGTGCAGTGTCGCCTCTCGTGCGTAGTACATTGAATAAAAAGTAAAACCACTTTCCCGCCACTTTTCAATTGTTTTTCTGTAAGCCAAAATGAATGAATACAACGAAGAAATTCGATACATTCTGAAGTTCTATTACAAAACAGGAAAATGTCCGAATCAACCCTGAAAAAGATTTGTGGTATTTATGGACCTAATGCAATATCAGTAAGAGTAGCACAAAGTTAGTTAAAGCGTTTTAGTCCGTGAATTTTGATGCGAAATATGCAGCTAGGCCCTGTTCGCCCTCATAAGGATTAAGTCGATGCTATTTTTGAAAAAGAAGATCAAGATCGGCATGTTAGTTAGACGATGAATTGAGGATTGACCACAATACAGTTTTGAATCATTTGAAAACTCAGTGATATTTGGGTAACACACGAGCTCACTTTAAGAAACCTAATGAATCGTGTACTCATTTGCGATTCTCTATTGTAATGTAATGAAACCGAACAGTTTTGGAATAGATGGATCAAGTGGATCAGCTATGACAAGAACGTGCGAAAAAGATCATGGTCAAAGGGTAGTCAAGCTCCACACTGTAGCGAAACCCAGATCAACGCGCATTAAGGTGATGCTATGTGTATGGTGGGATTTGAAGGGCATCGTTTATTATGAGCTTTTACCACAGGGTAAAACCATCGATTCGGATCTCTATCGTCAACAACTAAAATGAGCCTCAAGTAAGAAATTGAGAAAAAACGACCGGAATTAATCAACAGAAAAGTAGTACTCTTACATCATGATAACGCCAGACCACACACATTTTGCCCACTCAGCAAAATTGAGACCTTGGTTGGGAAGTGTGCATCCACCATAATATAATTCTTTGGGTAGTCTTTCTCTATGTTAAATAGAGAGGACTGTCAAAACCACTAGTTGCATTTTTTGATAGAAAAGAATGCAACTAGTAGAGCGACGAATTTTTAGAATGATTAATATTTCTATAGCAATGGGATTATGTCACTACCTACAAGATGGCAACAAGTTATTGAATAAAATAGCACATATATATTATAATTAAATGTAATTAAACATTGAAAAAAAATCTCTTGAATTTGTATATAAAATACGAAGAAACTTTTTCCCCGACTTTATATGTGACAATAGAATAAGGCAGGTACAAAGATAATTAATACTTATTATTATTATACTTATATTACTAAATGGTATGTTATGACAGCTGTTCTATCATAAACTCCGTCTGATTAGTGCTACTCTATTATCTGTGTCTTAAAGACGTAGTCTGAATGGTAGAGAGCGAGTTCAAATATAGACTGTGAGGCATTTCAACATAGTCCTCAGTGGTGACAACGCATCTCAGCCTTCTTTATAGGCTCAGAAAGGCTAGAACCCAGAGCCGTAAAGCCAGTTAATAAAAAAATCAGCCTTCTTTGTTTGTAGTTGGCTACAGTAGCCTGCAGTAGCCACTTAGCATCAGTTGGAGTGTGAGCTCGTTTGTCACTTCGATTTTATTTTATTAAAAATTAAACTTTAAAATCAAAGCTATTAATGACGAGTGCCACAAAGGTAAGTATGAAACCAAATCGACTTACACTTTTATACTTATCAGGAGAGTTGTTGCTAACCAAGAACTACATACCATGTGTGATAATTGTACTTAAATATTTTGTAATACTTAAGTATAATATAATATATACAATAATATATATTAAATACTAAGTAGTAGTCCATCCGTAAATTACGCCTCAAATTTGATTACCATTTGAACCCTCTCTTGTACCTCCTTGTAACATTTTATTGTATTATCTAAAGTGATGTTTTATTTTTATCATTTATACTATACGTAAAACGTAAAAGACATGTAATATATTTTTTCAACTTTGGGAAAATTTTATACAATATATTCCAAAATATTTGCAAGTAAAAAAATGAATAAAACTTATTTTACTTTATATTTTTTTATTGCCGATGGTCACGAGGGGGGGGGGGTATGCCCGAAACGTCGGAACGTAAATAATTAAAATTAGTTTTATTCAATCTGTATAAGAAATAGTTAAAAAATTATACTTACAATGGTTATGTTATTAGTTCTTTATTGAATTTTACTATCGGCTTAAAACTTCATATTTCATTTTAAAAATAGAGAGAATATATTGTGAACATTTTTACCAAATTGATAAAGTATGTGATTGACGTATTCTATTTACCAAGTATCAATCCAATAATATCATAATTATAATTTGTTTTTAACACTTGTAGTATCAAAAAAATGTCTTGAATTTGTATATAAAATATGAAGAAACTTTTTCCCCGACTTTATATGTTTAATGTTAATAGAAAAAATGCTATATAAATCTAAATAGTAACACAATAAATGGGGCGGATTTTTACATTACTTTATAACTAATAACTAACAAACTAATTTTCAGATTCTGAATAGAGATCGTAACGTTAGTTATATGTAAATATTTAGTTTAAAAGATTCCATAGTGAAATATAAATACTATAACAATTAAATATAGCGCACGCCTCTACAAAATTCATTAATCAAATGCATCAATATTATGTATATGTAAGGGAAACTTTATAGTTTCCCTTGCTTTTTATATTCTCAGACCAACAAAGAAAGAAAGATGGAGGCATGCTACATTTCTTGTAACGCAAGAACCCAGACAAAACCATGCTCGACTTACTGTAAGAACAGTCACGTACACAAACATATACATCTAAATCATTCACAACCAGCAATATGGTTATATGGCTTTTGGTGCTTAAATGCCTTACCAGGAAGCAACTTTCACAAGGGTTATCAAAAACGAATGCATATGTTTTCATTTTGACAAATAGCTATCCACATATTTCTATACTGTGATAATAAATTATACTATTGTTGTGATGTTAAGGATTTTTACACTTACAATTTAAATATAAAGGAAATTAAAGGTATATTATCTATGGATAAGTGACAAAACATCTTTACAAAGTCATAAAAATACAATAGTAATATAGACTTATAGTCTCTTTAGGTTAATAATACGGAATCTGACCGACACAACCGAAATTATCATTGTTGAATTTGTATGAAAAATAGATCCAATTTTTTTTGAAACACCGTCTCGAAATTATATAAAAAATATTAACTATTAATTTTATACAGCTACCTAGACAAACAACCATTATACTATAAAAATAATTCATCTAAGGAATGTATTTAAAGTGCGAGTATCATTTGTTATTACGTATATCCGTACAAAATTTGAGTCTAAGAACGTATAAAATCCCATTGATTTGTTTGTTGGTTGTCACATATGACCATAAGTAACGGTTCACTGCGATAAGCTCGCTCCACACCTAAACACATACCAGCAGCCGTATTGTAGATGGGACTTCCAGCCTGCAATTAAAAATGATATTATAATTAAAACTATGAAATAAAGTTTCTTGGAATCGCTGTTGTACACATTATCTTTTTAGTTCCACAGCTGGATTTAGAGAAGTTGCATGTCTTTTTTTGAAAGATTACTAAAAATAATTAAGAAAAATTAATAAAAATGACAATTGATATTTCAATGTAATTTTTCAGTGTCAGTGACATCATTATATCACTTTAGTAACGCCACTGCATGATGAAATGATAAAACACTCATATTTTTGTCGTCAAAATTACTCACTCTATAATACAGGTTATATATTTTTTGTTATGTTATGACGCATGGTGATCCGAATATAGAAAATACAAAGGTATACCATGATTGCGATTGGCGAATAGTCAACCAGCCAGCCTCAACGGATATAATGACGTCACAACCAATCACAACTCGTTGTTTTTTTTTTTCAAAAATTTTACTATTCCCGGCTTCGCACAGATGATATCTGGATAATACAACAACGCCACCTACCAGTTCCAGCTATGCCTATAACCTTCGCGTAAGTGCAAGCGATATGTTGACAAAGTTTTACTGCTATCTGGTAAACGCTATGGCAACGCCATAAAAATATTAAACAGGGGAAGTGGCTGTCCGCGAGCTATGATCAAAATGCTCAGCTTCTATACAAATGGCCGTCTCTGCGAATTAGTGCGTTTGCGACCATCATCGTGAAATATTATCAGAATGCCATGTTGTTCAGTGGTTTCTTGTAAAAACCGAAGCCAAAACAAAAACTTTGTTAATCATGGAATCACATACCATACCTAAGTACATGTATTTCATTATATTTATCTTTAAAATCATATTAAACACAAGACACATGACTCAACAAGCAAGGTAAATATCACAAAACAATACTTTATTTATGCGGATATATTGCGTAGTACGGCCGCTGTATCTTGTGACGAGCTAGTAATGTGCGTGTGCAGATCCACTATCGACAATAATGTGGATTGGCGAATTGCTATTATAGTTTATTCTCCAATTTGTCAACCGTATCAACCCGATAGGAAGACCGATGTGACATAATGTTGTTTACTTATTTTGATTATTTTACAGCAACTACTACGCTGAATGCGTAACCAAAGGTCGTAAAGTAAGTTGATTAAATTTTAGGTTGATAATCGATGGAGTGTTCTTATGTTTGAATTATCGTATATTATGCTTTATCTTCGAAAATGTTTCATAATATTTATGGTTTTGGGGTTTAATATAATTTACAGTTTTCAAAAGCTTTGAATGTATCATAAATACCTAACCGGCATGGTTATATGGTGACTTTAGCTTAAAATTATTCAATATAATTATTCTTGCTATTTATTTGTTAGACATGAGTGTGTATTTGTTTTCATATATTTAACAATATTATCACTAACCAGGAGTTTTATAATAAAAGATCGCCAAGCAAAACCTGCTTAGTACATGGTGAGGTTAAAAAGTAGCTTGGGATATATGAAAATAATAAATTGGTTATTAATCGTACTGTTGCGTGAATAAGTCAACGTCATACACTAGCGCCATCTAGTTTCAGGAACGAGAGCGAGGGAAGCTTTGCAGAAAATGACATCACAAATCTTTCAACCGACAGCGCCATCTGAAGAACTAAGTTTCTTGAAAATCTACACTCGAACACTCGTCGCTTTGCGCGCATTTTCTTGAATATTCCGAATGCTTCATTGCTAATTTGTATATATAGGCGCTGCAAGATGCGATCGAGGCAGTGTTGATTTGGCGAGACAAGCGAAGCTTCGGAGCGGAATAAAGTGAATTAGTGTGTTTAATTATTAGTGTTTTAAGTTTTAATTTGTGGAAAGTAAATTAAAGTGTTAATTTAGGTAATTTTATCGGCAATTTTTATTGTCACGAACCTCAAGCTCGTAACAATTGGTGTCAGAAGTGGGATAAAATCATGCCGATTTTACCAAAGGAGGAATCGGAGGGTGTCCGTACCCGAAGTCAACGCCAGCAGGAGACGGACCAGAGGAGATTTGGTGATGCAACGCCGCAGACGTCGAGGGCCAGCCACCGGCTGCAGGCCCGTCAGTAGCTCCTACATCTGCAGCACCCGACTTAGGTGCTCTGATGATGATGTTGCAGGAACAGGTCCGTCGGTTGGAAGAACAGCTGCGGGGCGGACAGGATGAACAGGCCCGCCGACAGGAGGAACAGATGCTTCTCATGAAGGACCTTCACGCTACCTTCGGGAAAGAGATAAGGGAGGTGAAGGATAAGGTTGCTCAACATGAAAACCGCCTGTCGGAAGCTGAAACCCGAATCGACCAAGTGAACAATCGGGTTGACAACGTAATGGCTGACATGAGGAAATCACTTGACGAACTCAAACTTGGGGAGGGAACTACAGCTCCCGTAGTAGCTACTACACCTTCGCTACGTGGGTTCAAGGTGCCACCATTCGACGGGACTTCTTCCTGGTCAGCCTACAAAATCCAGTTCGAAGCTGTTATGAAGGCGAAAGGCTGGAATAAAAATCAGGCCATGACTGCTCTCACACTAGGCCTGCGTGACCAGGCCTTAACAGTTCTGGAAGCTCTCGGCGAGGAAGTGACTTATGAGCAACTCCTTGAGGCATTGGAGGCGAGATATGGCGACGCTCACCTGGAATACGTCTTTCGTGCGCATCTTAAAGATCGTGTGCAGCGCATCAACGAAAACCTGCAGCAGAGGGCTCTAGAAGTGGAGAAGCTGGTGCGAAAAGCATACCGGTCTGTACCTGCGCTCATTGAAGGGAACCTGGTGCAGCCATTCATCAGCGGCATTCTCGACCTGGAAGTCAGAGCTGCTGTGAGGCTCGGGCACCACGAGACGCTTAAGGACGCCTTGGCCCATTCACTGGAAGTGGAAGCCGTGCGGCAGGATCATCGTTTCCATCGCGTCAGGGAGGTTGCAGCAGCACAGTTCGCGACCGCAACAAAGGATACAGCCCAAGAAGCTATGACTGTGGGGAAAAGGGCCATCTTCGATCCAGCTGCCCTAAGCGAACCCTAGAAAGGGAAGGTGAACGAATCAGGAGGGTAGTGCGGCCAACAGCACCGCCCAGCAGCAGCAGGGAAACGAGTAAATGCCAGAACTGCGGGGCGGGTGCTGACTGATATTAAAAGAGCCCCAAGGATCTCGATCTCACAAACTCATGATGGGAAGAGTCTAATCAGTATATATAGATTAGTATATATAGACTATAAGTCAGTTCCTTGGGGACTCCGCATACAACCGAGAACGCATTAATTTGGTAACAGCCACCGGTCAGCGTATACCCGTCCGTGGAAAGAAGGAGATGTAGTTGAAGCTAGGCAACGTGATCTACCTGCATAATGTCATCGTGGCTGATATAATGGACGACTGCATCCTAGGCCTAGACTTTATGAGGAATAATTGTTGTGAGATCGACGTTAAGCAAGGTGTTTTGAAATGTGGACAGGAGGAACTTTTTATGGAAGGTGCGTTACCAGGGAACGTGTACAGCATTAAGAAGATTGTTCTTCCGCCGAGATCGGAAACGATTGTTCCGGTTAGTCTTCCCCGAAACGCTGGGCAAGGTCACCGTTGTGTACTTGTGGAAAGGGTAAACAATGACCTTCCATGGAAAGTAGCTCGAACCTTGGTCAGAACCACTGACATCTCAAGAGTACGTGTGCTGAACCTTTGTGACCGGGAACAGATTATAGAAAAAAGCACACTGGTTGGTACTTGCGAGGAAGTGGATTGGTTACGTCGGTGCCAATATATATCGAGTGGGACCCCCAGCGAGGATTCAGAAACTAGAGTGACCACACTTTTGGAAGACTGTCGCAGTGTTCTCTCCCCAAATGAATTGGTCGAGGCGAAGAAGTTGTTACTCAAGTACGCCGATGTATTCTCGTCAAACGATGCTGACATAGGAAAGACTGGCTTGGTTCAACACAAAATAAACACAGGAGAGGAATTGCCTATCCGTCAGCGGCCAAGAAGATTGCCGGTAGCACGTGAAAAGGAAGTGGAAACCATGATTGATGGAATGGTGAAGGATGGTGTTAGTGAACCTTCATCTAGTCCATGGTGTTCACCCGTGGTGCTGGTAAAGAAGAAGGATGGCAGCATGCGGTTCTGCGTTGATTACCGCCGTCTGAACGACGTTACAAAGAAGGACAGCTATCCCTTGCCAAGAATTGATGACACGCTGGACATGCTTACAGAAGTAAAATGGTTTAGCACGCTGGATCTAAAAAGTGGCTACTGGCAAGTAGAAATTGACCCTAAGGACAAGGAGAAAACTGCGTTCTCGACGGGAAAGGGTCTGTGGCAATTTAAAGCAATGCCGTTTGGGTTGTGCAATGCTCCAGCAACGTTTGAAAGGCTGATGGAACTTGTACTTACCGGGCTAATTGGCGATGCCTGTCTGGTCTACTTGGATGACATCATCATCGTAGGCCGTACGTTTGAGGAACACCTTCAAAACCTGGAACGCGTGCTCATGAAGATTCAGAGTGCCAACCTCAAGTTGAGCCCGAAGAAATGTTCACTATTCCAACGGCAAGTTAACTTTTTGGGGTTTGTAGTATCGGAAGAAGGTATCCGCACAGATCCAGAGAAAATCGCCGCTGTCAAGGATTGGCCGGTTTCAAAAGACAAGACGCAGGTTAGAGCATTTTTGGGTTTGTGCTCCTATTACCGGCGATTTGTGAAGAACTTTGCAGATATAGCCAAACCTCTGCACAAGCTAACCGAGGAGAAGCGACATTTCTGCTGGGATGAAAGTCGCAATATCGCATTCCAGGAGCTCAAGGACCGTCTGTGCAAAACACCTATTTTGGGATACCCTGATGCAAGCAAAGAATTTATAGTTGACACAGACGCAAGTGATATAGGACTTGGCGGTGTGTTGTCTCAATGGAATGGTGACCAAGAGGTCGTGATAGCGTACTTTAGCAAGTCGTTGTCAAAACCGGAAAGGAACTATTGTGTCACAAGACGCTTTGCTTTTTGCTTGCTGTGGTAAAGTCGTTGCAGCATTTTAGCAAATATCTTCTGAAGGACGAAAATTTCACTTACGAACTGACCATGCTGCACTAAAATGGCTATTGCAGTTTAAAAATCCAGAAGTACAAGTTGCGAGGTGGATTTAACTACTGCAGGAATACGACTTTGAGATCGAACATCGCAGCGGAAAATCTCACGGCAACGCAGATGCATTGTCAAGAAGACCTTGTCCTGAAGATTGCAACAATTGTACTAGGCAAGAGAATAAGGAAGTGGTATCCGTGAGGATGCTCAGGACAGACCACCTCAGCAACGAGTGGAAGGACAGCTTACCACATGCACAGTAGGAAGATCCGGACATCAAGCCGATTCTGGAATGGATAAAGGCCAGTGCTCCCAAGCCTAAGTGGAGCGACGTCTCAGCAATGAGTTACAGAGTCTCAGCAACGACCACTAAAAGCTATTGGGCCCAGTGGGACAGCTTGCTGCTTCAGGATGGAGTTCTGTGCCGTAAATGGGAAAATGTTAGGGGAGACAGCTGTCATTTGCAAATGGTTGTCCCTAAAGCTAAAGTACCGGATGTTCTACAGCTGTACCATAATGATTGTTCCGGAGGCCATCTGGGAGTTAAACGAACTCTACTGAAGATCCGAGAACGGTTTTATTGGGTCCACTGTCGAAACGATGTCGAGGACTGGTGTCGCAAATGTACAAGTTGTGCGGCTGTAAAGGGACCTCAGACTCGTAGTAGAGGTGCATTGAAGTTGTACAATGTTGGTGCACCATGGGAGAGAATAGCCATTGACGTGGCGGGGCCGTTTCCGGAGAGTGAAAGCGGTAACAAGTATTTTATGGTTGTGATGGATTACTTCACTAAGTGGCCAGAAGTCTTCGCCATTCCAAATCAAGAAGCTTCAACAGTTGCAGATAAACTAGTTCATGAAGTCTTCTGTCGTTTTGGAGTACCTTTAGAGATTCACAGCGATCAAGGAAGGAATTTTGAGTCTCAAATATTCCAGGAAACTTGCCGAGTTATGGGTACTCATAAAACAAGAACGACTTCTTATCACCCGCAATCTGATGGAATGGTGGAACGATTTAATCAGACATTGGAGAGGTACCTAGCAAAAGTTGTAGACAATCGGCAACGAGATTGGGACAAGCACATACAACCGTTTTTGTTGTCATATCGAAGTTCTGTTCACGAAAGTACAGCAGTGACACCAGTTTTCGCAAACTTTGGAAGAGAATTACGGCTGCCGGCAGACCTGATCACCGGGATACCACCTGATGCCCCACGCAGTATAACTGATTATGCAAATGACTTGCGGAACAAAATGAATGACATTTATGAGCACGTCAGACAATCGGGCCAGCAAATGTCTGAGAAAATGAAAACCCGGTACGACCGCAAAATGAACAATAAAGGGTTCAACGAAGGTTCATTAGTGTGGTTGCACAATCCAGTCCGCAGCAAAGGGAAATCTCCTAACCTTCAAGCTAAATGGGACGGCCCGTACCGGATTGTAACCAGGATCAACGATGTGACCTACCGGATACAGAAAGGCGCAAGAGGGACTCCTAAGATCGTCCATGTGGATCGCTTGGCGCGTTATTATGGGACCGATAATGCTCGGGACGAGCATGTCTTAGGAGGGGTTAGTGTTGCGTGAATAAGTCAACGTCATACACTAGCGCCATCTAGTGTCAGGAACGAGAGCGAGGGGAGCTTTGCAGAAAATGACATCACAAATCTTTCAACCGACAGCGCCATCTGAAGAACTAAGTTTCTAGAAAATCTACACTCGATCACTCGTCGCTTTGCGCGCATGTACTTGAATATTCCGGATGCTTCATTGCTAATTTGTATATATAGGCGCTGCAAGATGCGATCGATGCAGTGTTGATTTGGCGAGACAAGCGAAGCTTCGGAGCGGAATAAAGTGAATTAGTGTGTTTAATTATTAGTGTTTTAAGTTTTAATTTGTGTTAAGTAAATTAAAGTGTTAATTTAGGTAATTTTATCGGCAATTGTTATTGTCACGAACCTCAAGCTCGTAACAGTACCTTTCGGCTTGCCAAATGATGCTAATTTAAAAAAGGAATGGATTGATGCCACTGAAAGGCCACCTGATTTCGTTCCCTACAAAAAGTAGTACTGGTCGTCGTAATTTGTATGAGAATCAAAATTATCATAAAAACAGCTTTTCTCGCCAATGAATAAGCAATTAAATCTAAAAAAGTCAAACAGTAACTCATGGCAAAGGCTTTGTCAAATTTAATTTTTTTTATGTTGTTTCACCAATTTGAGCAGTCGCCGAAGAATAATCACATTATATTTTTTTATAAAAGCAGTCATGGAAAAATGCATTAATTTAAGATTACACTATTTGACAAAAATGCCACCCCAGAAAATAAAAACGTCAAGTGCTGCACAAATAGCTAACTTTACAGGTCAACGAGTAAGCACCATAGCATGGTTCCATAATACCTACTACTTCAATCCGCTATGATAGCCTAAACCAACATAACGGGATTTTTTACTGTTTTTATTTATTTTATATTTAGGGCCCAAAAATGTTAGTACAATTTTGGTTTAAATGAAACAATCGATAACTTTCCAATTTAGTCAATCACTAACGCATATGTAAAATAAATGGCTTTTTTACAGCACAACGATAGTGCCCGATATTTTTGTGTGAGTAAGTAGTACGGTGAATGGTAAATGGACGTTGTGGTTTTAGAGATATGGTATATAATTAATTGTGTAGTACGTTATGATTTATTAAATGGCTTTTACTGATCTGTTTGTGTAGTAGTTGGCGCGCGTGGTAGGGGCCAACTGGAGACACCGGGTTCCGATACATTTTCAACTACTGGGCATATCTCCTTCATTATTATATCTATGGGCAACGCACAAAATACGAACGAACAGTTAATTTTTATACCTACATCAGATTACTAAAAAATCGAATTGTTAATTAAAAAAAATTATTTAAATATACTTTAAATGATTTATTCTTTCATTTATATATAAATTTGTATGAAAAAAATTAATGCAACTTCTCTATTGCATATTTAAATTTAACAATCGAAAACTGAAAACATCTATAAAAAGAAACGGTCACGAAAACATGGCATTGCAACACTTGAAATTGTATTTTTTCCTGTAATAACAAAAAATAAAAATCTGGTTCAATACATGTTTTTACTTACATGTATGAACATAATAAGTATTATATCATCCAAAATTATTTTAATCCCAATCTCGTGACAACCCCCTAGCATATTTGGAATGACGGCGTAAATAGTAAATAACTAACTATGCGGGTGACGGCATTGCCTGACATGAAAGGCATTTCACGACCGTTAGCTTTTTAAACTATGATTTAAGTAGCCGATAACCAACGAGTATACAATATGTAACATAATTAAAGCGCACCCTCAGACACCCCAATTAGTATATTATGTTATAATCATAATACATACACTGAATTTTTATTTTAAAATTTTTATGCACTGATTATTTATCAAATTAGTTATACTAATTCCGAAAGAATGTTGTAGTCACAGTACAAATCCACGAACGCAAAAACTTTAACATGCTTGAAATAAAGTTAATTTTTCTTTATTTTTATTGAATGACAGAATTAATATAGTAATATTATTATAGTAATAATACAAATAAAACTGCACTCTTAAAAGTCTTATTGCCTTAAGTTACGGTCCATTTCAGATTGTTTTGACTATACAGATTTAGTGTAACTGCAATTTACGCAGTTTTAATTATTTTTGGGATAAAAAATTACCTGTATTAAAAATGATAGGAATCGATTCAGTAAACGATTCTGAACAAACTACTTTCTCAAAGTGCGTTAATTATGTTACGTGTGTATACAAACAATCATGAATATCAACAGCAACAGAAGCGTTTTTGATGTATTGGCGATATTTGTGGAATCTTTTCCAGCGTTTGGTCATAAAGAAATTTTCTCTTAATCAACATTGTTGCTTGTTTATTTTGTTTCGTATGGTTGTGATTAAATAAAGAAGTACAACTAGATTTTTTGGCAGTACGCACACTCGTAAATAGATCAAAAGGCCAACAATTGGTGGTAAAGAAAGGTTCTCGTACAGGCCGTATTAAGTAATGACTAAAACTCGGGACCGTGCTTCATACCAATCTAAGGAGAATCATTTCCCATAAATTGATATTTATACATATTCAGTAGTGGGCATTTCTATAGAAGGTTGACAAATGAGCACACAGTTCACGTGTAAGTGGATGATATTGTTACCTTAATCTATCCTCAATGCAACGCAAATGATCTCTGAGGACAGAGATGGAATGCTTCGTTACCCGTAAAAAGGGTCCCCAGTTCTCATCCCTCACCATACGAAACACAGCAGCATTATACTGCTATTTCACGCTCATATTTTGGGTGAGCGTGGTGGACCCAGTCGGGCTGCACCCTGTAATACGCCTGTTGTAGCTATAATAGGTATGGAACATGTAAAGATAAGTCATAGGTAGTCGTTGTTATTATGAAATACTGAATGTGAAACATGAAAAAATTTATAGTCACTTTTCTTTTATAGTAATTACATTAGTCGTCAGTATTTGATTATAATAAGTCAATAATTTCACTATGAGCACCGCCACGAATAATCTGTATCAAACAATTAGATATTTAATTTTAAAAAACTTACAACTCCTTTATGCTTCCATTCCTGAGAACCTCCTAGCTCATGGCATTTTCCCAACACTGGTGACACATTGCTAGTGGCGTCCAGACAAAGAGTGCGACCAAGAACCAACTCGTGATGATCAGTTTCAAACCACATCTGTAACAAAACAGTTTCCTGTAAATGTAGAATATTTTTAAGGTGGGGTTAAAGGCAATTATATGCGAGATTTGAGAAAAGTATTTCACTTGAGGGAGATTATACTGAAAAATAAAAAATAGAAACCACATATTTTCTTTCATTAAGTACCTTAGACCGCGAACTTATCAGCCGCCCCCCGTATGTAGTATGTAGTGCGTATTGATGAACCAAAATAAATAGGCAGGTATCACTGGCGTAAAGGGTAATAAGGCCATTTAAACCTAGGTTATGTATGTCATAATTATAGATAAAAAGAGCAACGGGCCTAAAATTGATCCTTGAGGAATTTCACAGTTATACATACATAAACACTCACCCCTGACACCCAGAGGGGTAGGCAGAGACTACAGACTTCCATTTGTCACGATTCTGACGCACCTCTCTCGCCTGCTCCACATCCAAGAAAGAAAGAATGAAGAATGACTTAGCAAATTTATATTGCAGAATTGAATGGAAGAGTCGGAAAGGGACGCCCTAGGAGAAAGTTTATCTTGGTAGATAAACTTTCTCCTAGGGCGTCACATGACCAAACCACCGAAGCATTCCTTTCTTAATCCTGGTCACAACATCATCTTGCAAACTACACTCTTCTCTTATCACACAATTTCTCACTCTGTCATTCAGATTCAGCCTTAAAATACTCCTTAATGCCCGCATTTATAATGCGTTTATTCTACTCTCGTGCTTCTTCTGCCACACCCAATCTTCACTACCAATTCGTTATAGGTACTAACAAGAGTAGCAAGTGTATATGAGTTTGTATATTTGGGATGCATATTTAGCAGGCATGGAAGATATGATAAGGATATAGAACGACGAGAGAACGCAGGAAATACAGTAAATAGGACTCTACACTCTATTGTGGAAAGTCAGATTGTCTCAAAAAGTCACGTATGGCAATTCACAATTCTGTGTTATTCCCCACAAGTTATGGTAATGAATTACTTTAAATGTATTATAATGCTTATTTTGACTATTTGTAACCTATTTTCTAGATAGAATTCAAACATCTTCAAAACTGTGCCGGTAATGCCGATATTCTCTAACTTTTTCAAAAGCAATTTATAGCTCACCGTATCGAACGACTTTTTCTTTATCTATGAATATACCTAGGACTATAATTATCTTTTTATCAATATTATATTGTATTTTAGTAATGAGATCAATTGTTGCAGTGAGTGTGCTACTTTTTGGCCTGAAACCATATTGTCGTTCTGATATAAAGTTAATAGAGTTCAGATACTTTTCTAATCTTGTGTGTAAAACTTGATCAAGAACTTTTGATAAAACTGGCAACACCGAGATAGGTCGGTAATTGCCTGGATCAGTTTTGGCCCTGATTTGTAGATAGGAGAGACTTTTGCTACTTTTAGTGTGTCTGGGAAAACACCATCAAGTAGGAATTTGTTAAAGGATTCCGTTATTTCGTTTATTAGCAGTTTTTTTATACATTTTATCATTTTGGTACTAATTCAGTCTAAACCAATGCTGCAATTGGGGTCAAGATTGTTAGTAATATAAAAAGTTTCTTGTTCAGTACATGGTTCGAAGTCTGACATTTGTGAGTTTTGTTCGAAAGATTTGGGCAAGACCCGAATGAAGTTATCGTGAAATTTTAAACGAATTTTATTTGCTAAAATTGTTCCTATTGTTGATAAAGATTCGTTAAAAACTTGACAAATATGGTGAGAGTCTGTTATTTCTCTTAAATCTATTACAAGCTTCGAAGGAGTGAAGCTTTGTTTGATTTTATTTTGTTGACAAACTGTTTTTTACATTCCACATTTTCTTGGCATTGTTACTTGTATTTGACAAATTCTTTATGGTAGTATGATTCCTTCGTGGCTTGGATTAGTTGGTACCTCTACCCATGTAATCCTTAGTGACAATTAAATAAACTTATAAAAACGATTGCCGTGTAGTGGCGGTTGAGAATATCCACTACCCCATATCTTCCCGTAGGTGTCGTAAGAGGCGACAGAGGGAGACAGGCAGGAGATGGGCACCAGCATCTTCCTGATAACAGCAATGATATAATAAAAAACTGCGGTTGCCAACCCGCTCGCCAAGCGTGGCAACTATGGCAAATATCTCCCCATGAGTAACGACGCAAACAAACTGCCTCCAGTCCCCGGCGGCCCCGCTATTCCTGGCTACGATGGCGACCATGGTAACGGCGGGGCAGGGGGTGCTAAGAATCTCCGGTGGAGGTTCCACATACGACGACTCGACCTGGCAACATATAACGCACGCACCCTGAGGACTGACGAGAAGATACTGGAGTTGGAAGAAGAGGTAGATAAGTTGCGCTGGCATATTATTGGGTTATCCGAGGTCCGAAGAGAGGTGGAGGACACGGTAATCCTCGAGTCCGGCAACTTGTTTTATCACCGGGAGGGCGACCATCTGTCCCAAGGAGGTGTCGGATTTATCGTCCACAAGTCTCTCGTCAACAACGTTGTAAAGATTGGGAGTGTGTCGACGAGGGTCGCGTACCTGATACTCAGAATCACAAAACGTATTCGCTGAAGGTCATACAGGTTTACGCACCAACTTCGGCACATCCCGATGAGGAGGTGGAGGAAATGTATGAGGATATTTCTAGAGCCATACATTCCTCCAAAACCCACTACACGGTGTTGATGGGAGACTTCAACGCAAAACTAGGTACAAGAGAAAGCGGTGAGCTGAAGTTAGGGAAATTTGGAGTAGGGCAACGGAACCGTAGGGGCCAGCAGCTGGCCGACTTCATGGAGAAAGAGGGACTCTTTATGATGAACTCTTTCTTCCAGAAGCGGCCCCACAGGAAGTGGACCTGGTCGAGCCCCGACGGTTCGACAAAAAATGAGATTGACTTCATTATGACGACCAGACGCCAACTGTTCAGTGATGTCTCAGTGATCGCAAGGATGAAAACTGGCAGCGATCACCGAATGGTTAGAGGTACACTGAACCTAAACGTTAAGTTGGAGAGGTCTCGTCTAATGAAGTCAACGCTCCGTCCCCCTCATGCTCTAATCCAAAATCCCGAAACCTTTCAGCTCGAGTTACGTAACCGCTTTCAGTGACTAGAAGATTGCAATGCAGTGGACGATATGAATAACAAGCTCGTGGAAACTGTCCATGTGGTCGGAACTAAGATCTGCAAGACCGGCTGCAGAAGAACACAAAAGCTCTCCGATCACACTCTTAATCTCATGGCTGTTAGACGGGAGATGAGGCTGCAATCGTCAACAGATTTGACAACATACAGGCAACTGAACAGACAGATCTCCAAATGCATGCGGCGAGACTTACGCAAATTTAATACTGCTGGTATTGAAGAAGCGATTGAGCGGAACCAGGGCTCCAAAGTCTTTGCCAGAGATCTGTCTGCCAGTAAGAGCCAACTGTCAAAGCTGAAGACTGAGTGTGACAGCATCGTTTCCGGGACACCTGAGATTCTGAGTGAGATTGAGAGGTTCTATGGGCAGCTGTACACATCATCGTTGGAGCCACACGCAAGTGTGAGTAACGATCCAAGAGCGGGTCTTATCCGACACTATTCCGATGATATCCCGGACGTCAGTCTGAGCGAGATTAGAATGGCTCTCCAGCACCTTAAAAACGGCAAGTCCCCGGGCGAGGATGGAATTACAGCGGAGCTTCTGAAAGCGGGTGGAAAATTGGTACTTGAAGTCCTTCAGAGGCTCTTTAATTCCGTCCTCCATGGTGGCACTACTCCGGAGGCGTGGAGCAGAGGTGCGGTGGTCTTGTTCTTCAAGAAAGGTGACAACGACCTCTTGAAGAACTACAGACCGATATCCCTTCTGAGCCCCGTATACGTGCTGTTTTCGAGTCATAACGAATCGTCTCGCACGCAGACTCGACGACTTCCAGCCTCCCGAACAAGCCGGTTTCCGAAAAGGCTTTAGTACCATAGACCACATACATACCCTTCGGCAAATTGTACAGAAGTCCGAAGAGTACAATCTGCCACTGTGCCTGGCGTATGTGGACTATGAGAAAGCCTTCGATTTCCGTCGAAATTTGGGCGGTGCTACAGTCTCTTCAGCGGTGCCAAGTTGACTGTATATCGAAGTGCTGAAGTGTTTGTACAGTGTTTGTACAGTACAGTACAGTTCAAGTTACTGGACTGGAAAGGATATGGTATTAACATCAATGGCGAGTACATCACTCACCTTCGATTTGCCGACGATATAGTCCTTATGGCAGAATCGCTGGAGTACTTAAGGACTATGCCCAATGACCTCAATAGAGCCTCCCAACGGATAGATCTTAAGATGAACACGGACAAAACAAAGATCATGTTTAATGTCCATGTCACACCTATGCCGGTAGTTGTTGGGAGCACTATGCTCGAAGTTGTTGACGAGTACGTTTTCCTGGGACAAATAGTCCGGCTAGGTAAGTCCAACTTCGACCGAGAGGTCAATCAACGGATTCAACTCGGCTGGGCAGCATTCGGGAAATTACGACGCATCTTCTCGTCAGGTACTGAAAACTATATTTTACAACCAGTGTGTGTTGCCAGTGATGACATGTATCTGAGACGTGGGCCTTCACTGCTGGCCGTATGAGGACGCTCAAGGTTGCTCAGCTAGCTATGGAGAGGGCTATGCTCGGGGTTTCTCTGTGATAAACTTAGAAATGAGAATATCTGCAGTAGAACGAGAGTGACCGACATAGCCCAACGGATTAGTAAACTGAAGTGGCAATGGGCCGGCCATATAGCTCTAAGAACCGACTACCGTTGGGGAAAAAAGGTTCTCGAGTGGCAGCCTCGTACCGGTAGACGAAGTGTAGGGCGACCTCCACTAGATGGCGAGACGACCTGGTAAGACATGCAGGAAGTCGATGGATGCAGGTAGCTCAGGACCGTGCTTTGTGGCATACCTTGGGGGAGGCCTATGGTCAGCAGTAGACTTGTAAAGGGCTGTAATGATGATGATGATGATAAAAACGATTCCTCATTTAAACACATATGTTACAATCGGTAAATGTACGATAATACAGTCGCAAGTCCACACGTGCATTGCCGCGTGACGGCATCGTTTATAAAATGATTTTGTAACTCTAAATCACAAATAATAAGAACATTATTATCATGTCAGATAATCAACGCGATTGCAAAGGTGCTCGCCTACTTACTTTACTCTTTACTTGTAAAATTAATAGTATCCTTCAAGTATCCTCATACCAACAAAGAAAAAAAACGGAGCGGTGTTTCCACTTCAAGTGGTGAAAAAACCAAGCCAAAACCATGCTCGCCTTGCAGTAAGAAGACACAGTCACGTACACGTCAAAATCATTTGCAACCAAATGATTTTAAATGCATACCTAACACGGTAACATTTTAACACGGTTTTAGGTGCATATGTGTGCAAACTTTTACGGCATTACAAAGAAAGAAAGATGTGTGCGTGAGTGCGTGTCAAAAACTTGAACATGGTTTCGGCTTCATTTGAAGGCATTCTTTCTTTGTTTAGTATCATGTTTAATTATATAGCGGAAATCTATTTTTATGTGTGCGTGCATAAGTCTGATTATACTAATGATGATACAATTTGAATACCTAAATTCGAACGTGTCAAAAATGTAACTATGTCATTAAGAGTCATTCTAATTAAAAAAGTCCCTTAGCCACTCAGAGGTTAAACATTTGCTGTCAAATTATATTAGATTATACTACATTTTAATTCGAATATATCCGCGGGACTACCTTCTTGAAACAGGTTCTAGTTTAAACTTGAGACTAACCAAAAACTACATTTTAAATTGCATTTGCAACTCAATTTAGTACATCACGTAATGTAAGCTATTACAGAATGCTCAATTTACAAAGAACAACTGTACAATCGTCTCACGGAAATCTTGTTTTAATAAGGAAACTACAGTGACGTATTATCTATTCACTATTCTATAAGAAGGGCCACGTTTAATAATAAAACTATTTTAAGCTAAGTTCACGCGCATTCGCCAAAGTGCAAACAATTTTTTTTTTAATTTATAACTAATGTAGCAGCGCAATCAGCGATTACAACTTATTCCATCAATTACAGCATATAAAAGTCCATTGCTGAACATAGGTCACTGCCATAAATTACCACATAGGTTTTTCCCTATGGCATAATTGCCACGCTCGATAGGCGGATTGGCAACTGCATTTTTTACTACTTTAAGTTGTTATTAGGAATTGTTGCTAACCATCACCTGTCTCAGTAGAGGATATTCTTACACCAGCAACTACATGGTTTAAGTTAACTTATTAACGTTGTTATTATCACTAAAACAGACTTTCGCAACACAAATAAATATTTCTCAATTATGACTCAACGTCGTAAATCAGTTATGGAACACAGCAAGCAGTTATCAGAAAATACAAGATAATTATAAATGAATATGTAAACCAACAGCATCATCAACTTATTTAATGGATTACGTCTTCCTTGCATAACGTAGGCCGCTGCCTGCTGCTTTAGGTTGCCTACCGTTCTTTTATAGAAAAATGGTTCCAAAAAGAGAACCGAGAGATAGATATCAGTTAGTCAATACAACGACTCTTAGAAACTAATAATTACGCTTTAATATTTGAAAATTCAATACGCTTATTTTTAAAATACAAGATTAAATATGTAATATATATATGTAAATATTACATCACGCTCGAGTGAAGTGTGCACCGTCACTGTTACGCAGATACTAACATGAGAAAAAGTGACTGCCTCGGTGGTCTATGGGGTCGTAAACGCGATTGAGGTGGTGAGGAAACGAGGGTGTCCCAAGTTCGAACCCAGATTAGAGCCAAAAAATCCATTATTGTGTTTTTATATCACGAAATTCTTAGCAGGAGCCGGGAGTTAGAAAATTGGCGGTGTTTCACCCCTGTGCCTCGGAAAGCAAATAAAGCCGTCGGTCCTGCGCCTGATTTCACCCTCTTCTTGTCGGATTGTCGTCCCATTAGACTACTAGAGTAGATAAATAGAGACTTCATCTGTACTTGCGCATACACTCCGACCTTCATGATCGAAATTGAATCTAAAGGACATTACTTCTGCTTCAGGCATTTTATTTTTAATGTGTGCAAAAAATAATTCTTAAAACTTTACAGTCATATTGATTGTATAATAAATATTACAAAATGGTAAACTGCACGATTATGTGGTTAACTGATTACACCTAAATATCAAACAACTAAATAAACAATACTTCCAAACAAATTATAATAAAAAATTAAAAGGACTAACAAATTATAATAAACGAATAAAAAATTATAATCATAACATTATTCGCAGCAGTATGCGAGTGAAAGATACACGTGTAACGCAAGCAAGACGGAAAATTATTATGAAAGGTACCGACGCGAGCGCAATCCCTGCCTCCTAACCTCACCTCATCCTTTTTCTTAAAAATGCCGTTCTGCACAACGATACAGACGTATTTTAGAGACGCGTAAATAAAAATAAATAAAAAATATTTATACAGTTTAAATATTAGATACTTTAAGTACGGAGTAATCGTGATGACCGCCATCTATATTAGCCATGAGATTTTCCTGGCATTTCCCGTCAAGCTTCATCATCATCATCATAGCCCATTACAAGTCCACAGCTGAACATAGGCCTCCTCCAAGGAATGCCACATAGCACGGTCCTGAGCCATCTACTTTATTCGTCTCTTACCAGGGCGTCACTCCGTGTAGTGGGGGGCCGACCTACACCTTGCTTACGTACTTAAACATAATTAAATATATTATACATATAGCAAAATATAAATTGTTAATACACTCGCAAACAACATTCTTAATACTAACATTTCAGAAATATAACTAATGTCATTAAAACAGGCAGTATGTAATACAACAAAAAAAAAACATTAAAATCCGAATCATTGCAATGCAAAAATAATATTGATTAAATATAATTTAGATTAGTGCAAATATAATTTTTTTGCAGTCGCTCTCGCTTTGCTTATAGCTACACGATGGGCCAGCGCTGGCCCAGCGAGATGGCCATGCGATGGTTGAAACGCAACTACACGATGGCGACATTCAGTTATGATCGAAACGTTTTTCGAGATGGACGTGGATGAATTAGCCGCTGCGGCAATATATCTATACAACACGTAGCGCTTTTTTCTTAATGTGCACAAGAATAGAGTTACCAAAAAGAAATAGCGTAGAAGAAGATGACGGATGTTACCTAGCCATCGCAATAGATTTAAATATGTCCTAAATCAATTTAGTTTTATTTAAACACAAATAATTAAAAAATTATAGTTAATAATTTAATAAATAATAATTAATTATTCAAAATAAATAAAAAACAAATTATGTATATGTTCTGATTTTAGTAGCTCTATGATTAAAAATTTAAATTTATTATGAGGCCACATATTCGACATTTTTAATTCGTTAATTAATAGACAAAACTTGAACGTCCACACTTAACGGTCGAGCGCTCAAATCTGTGGAATGTTTTAAATTCGGCCTTTGGAGCGAAGCGCCACCTACCAAAAAGGGCAGAAGGTCTGCCAGGTTAGCTAGTATTATATAAAAATATTATTTCTTTTCAACATAATGTTATAGTTGAAGACCGAGTTTCAGGCATATTTCATATTAGTGTTTATAATATACATTATTGGATATACCTGATTTAAAGTCCTTATGCAGTTGGCAAGAACCAATCCACTACCTTTACTTTTGATATCCTTGGCACCCTGTACACACAAGGTAGTATTTTTCAGACGAATTTGGAACGAATCTGTGTAGTTACGCTTCCTGTAAAATAAGTGAAGAATAAAATTTAATTTCATTCGTAAATGACTGCGTTATTTACATCCCCGAATTTCCAAAATTTTTGAATTGAATATTTTCTGTCCTGTATGCATTTTATTACGAGTATATTGCAATTGTCTCATATCGTAATGATGTGACCCTTTTGGGGTCACAGCAGGACTGCGAAAACTACCGTGGTTATCAGCTTGCTTAGTATTGTGGGTAAACTGTATGCTAAGGTGTTAATTGAAAGAGTTATGAAAGAAACTGATGGAAAAATTTGGGATGTGCAAGCGGGATTTAGAAAGGGAATGGGGTATACAGATCAAGTCTTTTCCATGCGCATGATTGTGGAGAAGTTTTTGGCCAAAAACCAGAAACTTTTTTTTGCCGTCATGGACCTGGAAAGGGCCTGATAACGGACAGGACTGTGTTATGGCAAACACTGAACTCATTCGGGTTGAGCGCTGGTTTGATACAAGCATTAAGGTCTCTTTATAGGGACTCTAGTGCTTGTGTTAGGATCAACGGGGTCTACTCTGACTGGTTTGGCATCCAAACAGGTGTCAGACAGGGCTGTGTAGCTTTCCCTTGGCTGTTCAACCTATTTATGGACAGTTGTTTGCAAACTTTGAAAGATGAAGAATGTGGGTTAAGAATGGGCGAGTTGCGAGGGCTGCACTGAAAATTTCGGGAATCAAGGAAGTGACACAACATTACTATTTAAAAATGTATCTATTGCTTTTCGAAGTATTCTCCGCGAAATTTGACACATTTTTCCATACGATGGAACCAATCATTGAAGCAACCATTCCATTCGGAAGTTGGGGTCTCCAAAATGGCCGTTTTGTAGGCGTCCACAGCTTCTTCAGGTGATGAAAATCTCTGTCCACGCAATTTATTCTTTATTTTTGGGAAAGTATAGAAATTATTAGGGCTTAGGTCGGGGCTGTACGGCGGATGGTCTAATAATTCTATGTTTTCTTGCTCTAAAAACTCTTTTGTTCTGTGTGCGGTGTGAGAACTCGCTTCTCGTGCAGTTCTCTTTACGGAGTTCAGAAACGACCTGTGTGGCAAACAAATGCTAGCATACCATTTTGCATTAACCGTTCTTTGTCCCTCAAGAGGAATAGTCGTAACATGGCCGGTTTTGGAGACAAACGTGGCCCACCATTTTTTTTGCAACACTCCGTGAACGAACAACTTTTTGTTGGCTTTAACTCATTTTCGAACACCCAAACTCGTGTCTGGTTTTTTGTGTCGGGTTCGTACGTGTATATCCAGCATTCGTCACCTGATATGATGTTGTATACAGCATTTGAGGACCCTGCGTGGAATCTTTCGAGAGTTCCGACGCACCAAGTAACGCGAGCCACTTTTTGCTCTTCACAGAGCGAATGCGGTATCCATCGGGAAAACAACTTTTTTACACCTAATTGTTCATGCAAGTTTATTTGTATTTGACTCATGCCAATGTCTTAAAGTTGCCTGAATTTTGCGGTATGTCACATGTCGATCTTCCTCAATCAGCTTACGCACAGCATCAACGTTTTCTTGGGTGACTGCAATTTTGACGGGGATCATCACTGAGCTTGACACATCCACGTTGAAATTCAGCAAACCAGCGATAAATTGTGGTTTTGGATGGGGCTCCATCACCAAATGCAGAAATCATTCGGTTAACACACTGTTTTTGTGTTAAACCACTTCGAAAGTCATAATAAATCATCGCTCTTGAATTTTCTCGAGTCAATTCCATTTTCTCAACGACGAAACAAGTTTGACAAAACCTTGTGACAAGACCGAGAATCTTTTTTTAAATAAATAAATGGTATTCGATTTTCAAAACCAAGGAGTTTTCAATTAAAAAGATTTTAATATGACAGGAACAGTGGAAATATTCCATTCCCGATACTTTTAGTGCAGCCTATGTAACCGTCAAATACCCTTTGTACGCCGATAATCAAGTCATATTTACGTTGTCGGCGGCTGAGTTGCAAATGATGGTTACATTAATTAACTGGGCATTAAAAGAAAGGGGAATGAAAGTGAACGCAAGTAAGACGAAAGTGATGGTTTTCGAAAGAGAAGAAAGTAAAACGGTATGTGAATAAAAAATTGCAAGAGTTCGTGTATTTGGGATTTGTATTTAGCTGGGATGGTAGATTTGATAAGGATATAGAACGACGAGTAAATGCAGGGAATAGAGTGAATGGGTCACTACACTCTATTATGAAGAATCAGGATGTGTCAAAAAAAGGCACGTATGGTAAATTCATAATGCTGTGTTAGTCCCTACTTTAATGTATGGTAGTGAAAGTTGGGTGTGGCATAAGAAGCACGAAAGTAGAATAAATGCTGTAGAAATGCGGTCTTTAAGGAGTATGATACTGAATGACAGGGTGAGAAATTGCGTGATGATATATATATATATATATATATATATATATATATATATAAATGTGGTATGCAAGATAATGTTGTGACCAGGATTAAGAAAGGAATGCTTCGGTGTTTTTTTATAGGTGACAAGCGAGCACACAGTCCACCTGATGGTAAGTGGTGGCTGTGGCCCATAGACATCTACATCAATCCTCGTTTGCGAATCAAAATGAAGATACGTTGTCAGCCTTGAGGACTAAGATGGAATGTCTCTTTTCCAGTAAAAAGGGTCTCCGGTTCTCTACACTCACCATACGAGATACAGCATCATTAAGCTGCTATTTGACGCTGGTATTCTGTGAGAGCGTGGTTCTTCCCCGGTTGAGCCGACCCATTCGTGCTACAACTTTACAATTAATATAGCTGCAGCACCACGTAAAATAAAGAGGTTTGATCATGCAGAAAGAATAAATGAGGAAAGAGTGACAAAGAAAATTTTTATGGCAGATGTGAACGGCAGAGTCGGGAGGGGACGCCCTAGAAGAAAGTTTATCGACCAAATTGGCGATATTTACCAAATGGACCACATTAGAAGTACCCTTAACCGACGAGCATGTATGCGTAGATATATGGATGTAAAGGAGACGAAAGAGGTATGTCAGGATAGTGCCAAATGGAAGTCCATAGACTCTGCCTACCTCTCTGGGTGACAGGCGTGAGTGTTTATGTTTTAAATGGGTAATGATGTATATCATCCCGAGGGTGGCGTAAGAGACGACAGAGGATAATTCAACCAGAAGATTGGCAGCAGCATCTTCCTAATAACAGTTGCATGAAAATAAAAAACTTCGGTTACCAACCCACTTGTCAAGTGCGACAACTATAGCAGACATCCTATGAGTCTATACATGGGAGGCCTATGTTCAGCAGTGAACTCTTGATAGTCTGTAATTGTAAATGGTTACTTAATTAAGAATACGTACTAAAATTTCAACTAACCTAGAATGCCACGGTTGAAATTTGTTCTTATCTGGATCGTTAAGCGCTACCATTCTCCGTTTAGCGGCGTTATCTTCCCCAGTCTCAAGTTCGGGATAAACGTTATCCAGGTACCATTTGAAAGATTTACATTTAAGCTGTTTCCTCAATGCTATCCTTTCTGAAATATCGCCAATGGGAACATCTGCAGCTGCCGGGTTGTGCTCTATGACTTTTTTCTAGAATAAACATAAACAATGATCAGGAATTCAGTGACTTAATTGCTACTTCTCCCTTTCACCATTAGACGACCGGACGCTCGACTAGTCTCCAATTCTTTGTTATTGACATACCATATATTTGAGTAAGAGAGACACTCTTACAAAAAACAAGCGGAAATAGCATTTTAATTCTGTTGTGTTTCGTATGGTGAATGTAGAGAACCGCAGACCCTTTTTACTGGAAACAAGGCATTCCATCTTAGTCAAGGATAAATGTAGATGGCTATTTATTTATTTATTTATTTAAAAACTTACACATAACACCTTAAGCTAAAGGGTACATAGGGCGGACTTAATACCATGTGGCATTCTCTGCCAGTCAACCCTGGGAGCCAAGGACAATTGTTGGCAGGTGCGACCATTATACGTAAATAAGTGCTTATATATTAAATATACATATATGCAAATTACATGCATACACATTACATTTAAATATACACACATATAGTATAAATATGACGTACAATAATACATATTTTTTTATATATATATATATATATATATATATATATACATGATTATAAACTTCGTAAATCAATATCCAAATGAATGATATATATAATATAATGTTTGAATAATATATAATGAAATAAATATTTGAAGTCGAAAAAGAAGAAAAGAAAGACAAAAATTAAGGAAAAATAATGTTAATTAGTAGTTTCCTTCAGGTAATGTTCTCGGAGAAGAACTTTGAAAACTTTTTTATTTGTGGTATTCTTAATATCCTTGGGGAGGATGTTCCAAAGTTGTATAGCTTGTATCGTAAAAGACGACCTAAAAAAATTTGACTTATGCTGTGGAAACGTTAACCTCAGACGGTTCGACTGTCAGGATGTTCGACCGTCGATCTGATGAAAAAAAATGAAAATTATCCTTAAGAAGGCGACCTTGGATCTTTTAAAATTGAATAAAGTACAAGTAAAATTCTAGAGCATCGCCTTTGACGTATAGGTAGCCATTTAAGCTTTGAACGATAGGATGATATGTGGTCATACTTACGTAAACCAAAAATAAACCTTATGGAATTATTAAGAAGCTCCAACTTGTTTAGAAGATTTTCTGACAGATCTGGGTAACATACATCGGCATGGTCAATAATAGGTAGAATAAGGGAATAAACCAGCGTAAGCTTGGTTTTGAAAGGTAGGAAATTTTTAAGACGATAAAGGGAACGCAAGGTAGCAACAACTTTACGACTAACTTAAGAGATCTGCAATTTCCAGGTCATAGTTTTATCCATGTACAGGCCAAGATTTTTTATGGAATCACAATATGGAATCAAACTTCCATTATAAATTACAGGACAGAGATTTCCATAATCAACCTTAGCCAATAATTGCGAACTTCCGAATATTGTAACTTTGCATTTGGCAGGATTAACAGAAACGCCATATTTACATGACCATTCTCTTATGGCTTAAAGTTAGGATTATTTAAGCTTGGCTGTACATAGAGCTGGAGATTATTCGCATACAGATGGTACGAACAATCCAAAACTGAGGAGATAGAATTTATAAATAAGGAAAACATAATAGGAGAAAGTATTCCGCCTTGCGGCACACCAGATTCAATTTCAGCCCATGCAGAAAACCGCTGACCTGAGCGAACCGAGTGCTAGCGACCGGGAATATAAGAAGAAAACCATTCCAAGGCTGGGGATGAAAATTTAAGGTGTTTAAGGATGGATAGGAGGACACCATGATCCACTGTGTTGAAAGCGTTTGAAAAGTCAATAAGCACCACCACTGTTAATTTTTGCTCATCTAAGCCCTTTCTTATATCGTCTGTGACTTTGATAAGCGAAGTGGTAGTACTGTGACCAGAGCGAAACCCCGATTGAAATTCATTCAGCAGGTTATGTTTTGCAGCGAATACAGATATTTGCTTAAAAACACAGGCTTCCAGAACTTTAGAGAGGTATGGGAGAATTGAAATAGGATGAAAATGGTTAGGGAAAACAGGATTAGGTATTTTTAGGAATAGGTCTTACAAAAGCCTTTTTCCATGCAGAAGGGTATTGACCTGAGTCCTGAGAATAATTTATAATGTGTATTATAGCTGGAAGAAGGTACTCAAGAATCATAGACACCATTTGCTTACTAATTTCATCATAACCCACAGCCTTGGATTTAATGGCTAACAGAGCTTTTTTAATTTCATCCTGAGTAACAGGGGAGAAACAAAAGTCAGGGATCCGGAGAGGCTGCGTTGATTTTATAGAAGCAATAGTTTCAGAATGGACTTGAGGGTCCAATGAAGTAATAGAAACAAAGTGACGATTAATGTCATCCAAATTGAGAGAGGCGCCATATTCCGGAGGATTAGATTTATTAATTCCGATAGACGAGGAATTTCCACAAATCAGTGGGCGAAGAAATAGTTATTTTGTCATGAATGTAGCGGCGTTTAGCATTTCGTACCACCTGATTGCATCTGTTTCTTCTTTCTTCTGCAGCGTTTTAGGAAGGTTTATTAGACTCAATTGACAATATTCTTTTGAGCGAGGTTTCTTTTTTGCAAACTGATCACGCTGGAAAGGTCTCCGAATAGGCTTCTTCGCAGGGTGTTCGATTCGATTCGAAGTTTTTGTGAGCGAGAAGTATTTTTTAACAAATCAATGTTGAAACCACCCATTATCATGCAATGTATGTACTTAGTTCCGATGGTGTCAAGAGAGCAGTCTCAAGTGAGGTAAAATAATCCACAGAAGAAGGACAATATACAATACCTAAAACTGCCTTAGCACCCATTGTTTATTTCTAGAAATAAAAACTCAGCAGTGTCAGAAAATGGGGAGGGGAAAGATAGAACAACTTTATAAGGAATATTTAGGAAGCCCTCTAGGAAGAATGAAATTGGGTAATGGGTACAAACTCGACATAATAGATGGTTTAAGCCAACACTCAGATATTAAGATAGCAATCGACACAGTCTAGTGAGAATGCTTCTTCTAAGTAGGAAAAATGACTTGGAATGCTCTGTGCATTAATATGACAGACATTAAAACTATTTTTTATGAGGCAGAAAAATATTACTTAACTGATCGTGTAAGGGAAGTAAATTATCTGTAAGATCATTACCAGAGGCGCATCAGGAATCCGAACTATAAATTGAATAAAAAGATTCATCATCAGATATTATTAACTTCTAAATAGATTTATATATAATATGTATATTAGATAATAATAAATAATAAAATATTAAATATATTAAGAGATAAAACAAAGTCTAAGTATAAAATATCTACAACGCTATATGTATAAACCAGAAAATCAACTACTCCACTATCACTGCTCTATCCCATCAGTTGACTGATAAAGATAACAATCATTGTTTTTAAAAGTAACCTTAAATTAATAGAACATTAAAATACACTATTATACAAGTAAATACAGAAACAGGATATAACAAAACATCAACATTAAGTATAAGTCCACAATTAATCTTTCCCAGCGAAAACAAAATCAAACGTTTAATTTGTTAGTGTCTGTGTAACCAAATATATTTCTTGAAATCAATGTTAACAGAGATATAGTAAAAATTATAAAATTTAGTCATAATATAAAATAACATCCATAGGGGATTTGTGCCTATTGTATCGAGTTTATTAGCACCCTTACATTCACTTTTAAAAAAAAGGCGTAAAGAGGGTGTGGCAAGAAAAACATTTAAAAGTATTCAATAAAATCAAATATAAATTAGCGCCTGAAAGGGTGTTGGCACATTATAATCCCCACCTAATTACAATAGTGACGGCTGATGCGGGGCCGAACGGGCTCGGCGCAGTGCTCGCTCAGCGACAGCTTGACGGCGTCGAGCTAGTGGTCACGTACACATCGCACCCGCTCATAAATGCCGAACGAAATTGTGCACAAATTCAAAAAGAAGCGACTGCTATCATTTTTGGTATAAAAAAGTTTCACCACTATTTATACGGCCGCGTGACCCCTTTTATTTTGCGAACTGATCACAAACCCTTCGTGTCGATTTTTGTCAGTAAAAAAGGTATACCAGAAATGGTAGCGAATAGACTTCAACGATATGCTATATTTTTGTCCGCATACAATTTTACAATAGTGTATGTCAAAAGTGAAAATAATGTCGCCGATTTTTTACCATGATGTCCAGTAAATAATTGTTCCGAAAGTATTGAATGTAGTCCAGATCAAACTAATTTAATTACTTATTAATTTTACTAACGATAATATGTTAAAACCTATTACTGTAAATGAAATTAAGAGAGAAATTATGCAAGATCAAATACTCTGTAAAATTATAAATTTTGTTATAAATGGCTGGCCATTGAAAATGCACAACACGGAACTTAAACCGTATTTTAAATGTAAAAATGATTTTGTGTCGAAAATGGGTGCTTATTAAGGGGACGTAAAGTGGTTATACCAAGTTTTTATGGAAAGTCTACTTAAAGAATTGCATAACGCCCATTTTGGCATTGTAAAGACTAAAAATGAAGCGAGATCGCGTATGTGGTGGCCCAATATCAATAAGCAGATCATCACCGCAGATCCACACCGTTCTCTACTAGCATCTTGGCCATTTTCGAAACGTCCTTGGGAACGAGTTCATTTAGACATGTTTTCTTTATCCAACAAACAATTTTTAATTATTGTAGACGCACATTCAAAATGGTATGAATGTTTCCAAATAAATAATACAGATAGTGAAGCATTATCGGTAAACTTTTGGAGATTTTTAGCACCCTGGTAACCGATAATGCGAGTAATTTTTGTTCAAATCAATTTGAAAACTTTTGTTTGTTAAATGTTATACAACGTTTAACTTTTCCTTCATATCACCCAACATCAAATGGAAGCAGAAAATACCGTTAAGATAGTTAAAAGGGGTTAAGGATTATTTTAAACACACATACGGATCAGAAATCGATAATTAATAAATTAAAGTTACAAAAATACGATAATTAATAAATTAAAGTCACAAAAGTTGATACCATAACTTCCGACTCCATGTTATTAAGAGGAGAAGAGGGCGAAAGTTCTGACAGTGACAGTGTGTTGTCAATAAATAAAAGGTATGAATTCAATTTGTGTTTTAGTGGTGAAATCCCCATAAATACTATATACTATTTATATAGTAAATCTTAATCTTAATATATATAAATTACGTGTCACGTTGTTTGTCCGCGATGGACTCCTAAACTACTGAATCGATTTTAATCAAATTTGCACACTGTGTTAAGTCTGGCCCAACTTGAGAGATAGGATAGTTTTATTTGCCCCACAATATTTTTTGCGAATTTAAGGAGTTTTATAGAACATGACAAAGGGTCGTCGAAAAGGGCAGAACAACGTCTGCCTGGCAAGCTAGTAGTATATTATATAATCTTATCTATTATATAGTATATCTATATATAAATAAGATATAAGATGTAAATGTATGACGTACATACTTACCACGTATTCATCCATCCACACGCGCGCCATTCGCATAGAGTTATGCACCATATAATCTTCCTTCTCACCGAGTCCATACGGTCTTCTTTTTCGGAACACGTGACCAACCCGACTACATGGAATAAGCTCTAGGACTCCACCGCACATCCAAATCTGGAATATTACAAAGACCATTGCTTTAATTATTTTAGTTTATAAAAGAACTTATATGATTAGACGGGAATTAATTTAAAACATAAAACGAAGAACGGTCACCCCAGAGGACTTAGGCAAGATACCTGATTTCCAGTAAAAAGGGTATCCGGTTCTTTACACTCACACACGAAAGACAGCAGCTTTAACACTAGAAACGCCACAGTCCTATTTTGTCCCACTCGCAATTTTGATTGTCTCCAACATTTTTAGTTTTGGATTTAGGTTGATGACACTTTTTGATTTTTATTTATTTTATATAGTAAACTAATTTCAATTGTTTTCAATTTTATAACAAGAATAATCTATAACAAAAACACGATTTACCAAGAACCGCCTCTGGGTAATTTTTGTCCCGTTGTTTTTTAAAGAATAATTCAATGGACGGTCTACGCTCCTGAGAGTTTATACAATATCTCGTTATTGTTTTCGTGAAAAAATTAAATACTTCGATAACAAGTCTAAAAGTCTAAAGACTGAGCGAAGGTAAGTTTGCTATGATCGCCGAAATATATTTCAAAATTATTAATAATACAATATTATGTTTACATACTCGGGCCACACATAATGATCGATTGACGAACAACTTTTTCCTTCAAAGTGTCGCTGCAATTTATCCACCATACAAACTCTGAACTAGACAAATACGGACGGAATTTGTCTACAGCCATCCAGAATTTGGTCGGCTGTAGACAAAGATTACAATTATGTGATAAATGTGTTTCCTTATCTTGGAAAAGATGATAAAAGTAAAGTTACAGCCTATATACGTCCCACTGCTGGGCACAGGCATCTCCTCGTTTCTGAGAGGGTTTTAGGGCAAGGAAGTGTCCGCCGCGCTGCTCAAATGCGTGTTGGCGAACTTCACATGTCTTCATTTTTTTTTCTTATTCCTCAGACATCGGGTTTTCTCACTATGTTTTCCTTCACCGCCGAGCACGTGGTAAAACACATCATCATTGTATTTAGTTAGCGGAAGGTTGCAAATTAATCAATATCTTTATTATAATGGATTTCCGCAAAGTAACGCCTTCTATCAACTAACGATTCTATCAATTATGTTACAATCGTTTCCAAATTTCGTTTGCAAATTATTTAGAAAATGCCAAATTGCACGCTATTTACAAATAAATATGTATTAAAATCCATCTGTCAACACAGCGAATCAGGTTTGTAGTAGTGATTGCTCCCGGCGACCCTTATCGTCGTACAAAATAAGGTTGACAGCCATTCTATTGTGTATTATAGTATTCTATGGGACAGATGGTCGCGCTACCGGTGATAAAGTAAGTTGCCAGACTTGAGGATTACCGTGTCCTCCCCCTCTATTCGGACCTCGGATAATCTTATAATATGCCAGCGCAACTTGTCTACCTCTTCTTCCAGCTCCCAGCCGCCAAATTTCCTGAACGCACTACGAGACAAACGTCCCGATACCATCCACACCATCTGGATGCTTGGCGGTCCACCACTGTACGTTTCAGAAGGAGTTTTCTTCCGCGTACGACCTCTCTGTGAAATAGTTTACTACCGGCGATTTTTCCGGACCGATACGACTTAGGGCCCTTAAAGAAAAGAGCTTACTCCTTTCTAAAGGGCCGGCAACGCACCTGTAATTCCCCTGGTGTTGCGGTTGATCATGGGCGGCGGTAGTCGCTTAACATCAGGTGAGCCGTATGCTCATTTGCTCCCTCTTGTATAAAAAAGCTCCACTTCTTGTCAGTCCTCAGGGTTGCGTTGTAAGTCGCCAGGTCGAATCATACGTAGGTGGCAACTCCACCGGAGATTCTTAGCACCCCCTGCCTCGCCGTTACCATGTTCGCCACCGTAGCCAGGAATAGCGGGGCCGCCGGTGACTTGGGGCCCTTTTCTTTGTGTCGTTGCTCATGAGTTGATGTTTGCCATAGTTGCCACGCTTGGCGAGCGGGTTGGACACCGCAGTTTTTTATTGTGTAGTTGTTGTTATCAGGAAGATGCTGCTGCCCATCTCCTGTCTGTCTCCCTCTGTCACTTCTTAAGACACCCACGGGAAGACATGGGGTAGTGGATATTCTCAACCGCCTCTACATGGCAGTTATGTTCTTGTGAAGGGCTGTAATGATGATGATGTTTATTTGCTCTTCAAATAATAGTAACTAGTTTATAGAATTTAATAATTAGGAGAGCTTACATATTTTTTATATTATTATCTGAGTTATGATGATTTTGTTTCTTAACTAAAAACTATTAATTTGCGTTATTATTTCTAATTTGTTACGTTTTTGTTTTTCAAGCATTAAGAGTTTTATTGAATATGATTAATAAACGTGTTTCAAATATTATACAAATAGTATTAATCATAACTTTTGTATATTATACCAATTATCGTTAAAATAAATAGACTGGGACAAAATTGTCACTACCGCGGTCCAAGGGGGGTCTAAAACTTCGACTGCTATTTTACGCTGGTATTGTGTGAAGGCGAGCTCCTTCCCTGCTTGAGTCAACCCAGTTGTGCTACAACTATAACGCGACTGCTGAGTGGTTCGACCACGTATAAAAGTAGACTTGTAGACTTAGATACTTATAGGCGAATAAGTTGAATGCCGCATCCCCGTCCGAATACCGCCCGAGGTACAGCGTTCGTCTTAGTACCGTTCGCAGCATCCATGCACCTGCACTTGTTACGTTAATCATTTCTCTATTGTTATTATTCAATTTTATATATGACAAATGTATTAAAGGTAAAATTTTTAAAAAATCGTTAATTGTGATTATATCAGTCTATGATTTCCTAAATCACATAAAATGTTATTACAATGTACATTATAATTTTATGTCATTAAATCATGCCGTTCAATGAGTTAATGACGTCTTCTTTGACAGTCATCTACTTACCACTTAGTTTCTACTTAATTTGATCGACTAGTATATGAATGATTCAATTAACTATATTTTTAAGCATATAACATAGCACATCAACGGCATACAATGAATACGCACACATAATTAAAACCTATTTAAGTAATAAGTTAATAAACAACAGAATTCAGATTCGCCTGCGTCAACATTATTTTAAAAATACTCATAAAAACAAAGACTATTAAAAAAACGTTTGATCGGAATAAATTAAAAGTGATTATGCGACTTTCCTCACGGCCACTACTTCTAGTTCAATGTTACACATTGTGCCAGATGAACTAACTCTACACGATGCACGAGTAAGTAGAATTCGACTCCCAACATAAACATGTTTCTTTGCAGGAAGCTGTTTTAAATGCTTAGAAAATGTATGGTTAAAAAATATTATAAAGAAAATACTTGTTTCATACCCTAAAAGATATCTCCAAGTTCTCACCACCCCAGACATTCATTCCCGGATCATATTTCCCAATATAGTTAAAATATTCCCGATAAATTGCAAACAGTCCCCCCGCCATAGTAGGTGATCTAATAGGTTTCACAAAATCTTCCAGTTCTGCAATTACACATTTTAAATTGTTAATTTATGTTTATGGTAAGCTTCAACATTGAAGATTAACTAAGCAAGCATACAAGAAACTACAGTTGAAGTTGATATCGAGAAGGAGTGCAGAAAGCTATTTTTTTTAATAAATATGTGTCACCAATATATTAAATGAAATAAAACTTTATTGTTGTTGTTCATACTGTCAATGTCTCAGAGCAAGTACTAAAAATGTTTATTAGTAACTATGATTTGAACAAAAAAAAATTTTATTTGTATTTTAAATAGAACATGTTTCTGTTTTATTAGTAAATGTGTAGTTGAAAGTGAAATATCATTTGCTTAATATAGAGGTCGAATTTGGCCACCAGTTAATTGTTGTGATATTCAACACCTTTTGATGTTAATGTTAAAATATAATTGTTCAAATTTTTAAAAAATATTTATTGTTAAAATGTTTACAATGTTAGGAGTACGCACACGAGATTTTGTTGGCGTCCGTACATGTACTGGCTAAAAATACAAAGTTTAATGTTAAATGCCGACGCGTACAAAATGTGTTCGGTGTAAACCGAACATTAATATTATGTGATTATTAATAGATATATTATGATTTTCTATATTTATTTGTATATTATTTTGCATTCCCTATATCGTTAAATACAGAAGAACTTAATATATAATATTATAAAACATAACATAACATAACATAAACACTCACGCCTGTCACCCAGAGGGGTAGGCAGAGACTATGGACTTCCATTTGGCACGATCCTGACATACCTCTTTCGCCTCCTTTACATCCATATATCTACGCATACATGCTCGTCGGTTAAGGGTACTTCTAACGTGGCCCCTTTTCAAAATATCGCCAATTTGGTCGATAAACTTTTTTCTAGGGCGTCCCTTCTCGACTCGACCGTTCACATCTGCCATATAAATTTGCTTTGTCACTCTTTCCTCATTCATTCTTTCTACATGACCAAACCACCGAAGCATTCCTTTCTTAATCCTGGTCACAACATCATCTTGCATACCACATTTATCTCTTATCACGCAATTTCTTACCTTGTCATTCAGATTCAACCCTAACATACTCCTTAAAGACCGCATTTCTACAGCATTTATTCTACTTTCGTGCTTCTTCTGCCACACCCAGCTTTCACTACCATACATTAAAGTAGGACAGCATTATGAATTACCATATGTGCCTTTTTGGACACATTCTGGTTCTTACAATACAGTGTAGTGCCCCATTCACTCTATTTCCTGCATTTACTCGTCGTTCTATATCCCTATCATATCTACCATCCCTGCTAAATACACATCCCAAATACACAAACTCATCCACTTGCTCAATTAACTCTCCTTCTATTCTTATTTCACATACCGTTTTTCTTTCTTCTCTTTCAAAAACCATCACTTTCCTCTCACTTGCGTTCACTTTCATTCCACTTTCTTTTAATTCCCAGTTCATTAATGTAACCATCATTTGCAACTCAGCCGCCGATGACGCAAATATGACTTGATCATCGGCATACAAAAGGCATTTGACGGTTAACTCGCCCATTCTTAACCCACATTCTTCATCTTTCAAATTTTGCAAACACCTGTCCATAAATAGGTTGAACAGCCAAGGAGAAGCTACACAGCCCTGTCTGACACCTTTTTGGATGCCAAACCAGTCCGAGTAGACCCCATTGATCCTGACACAAGCACTAGAGTCCCTATAAAGAGACCTTAATGCCTGTATCAAACCAGCGCTCAACCCATATGAGTTCAGTGTTTGCCATAAAACATTCCTGTCCACTCTGTCACAAGCTTTTTCCAAGTCCATGAACACACAAAAAAGCTTTCTGGTTTTTGGCCAAAAACTTCTCCGCAATCATGCGCATGGAAAAGACTTGATCTGTATACCCCATTCCCTTTCTAAAACCCGCTTGCACATCCCAAATTTTTCCATCAGTTTCTTTCATAACTCTTTCAATTAACACCTTAGCATACAGTTTACCCACAATACTAAGCAAGCTGATACCACGGTAGTTTTTGCAGTCCTGCTGTGACCCTTTTCCTTTATATATTGGTACTATAACTGCTTTACACCAGCCATCCGGTACCCGTTTTAATTCCCAACATAAATTAAACAAAGTGTACAGCAGGCCTGCCACCACTTCCTCTCCAGCCCTTAGCATCTCGAGTGATACTCTATCATATCCAGCTGCCTTACCTGCTTTCATGCTTTTCATTGCTTTCATTATTTCATCTACACCTATCTCCAAACCCATTTCTGCTTCTTTCGGAATTTCTAGTTCATTTAATTCAGACGACTCTTCACTCATAAACACGCTTTCATAGTATTCCTTCCATCCGTTTAAATTCGAAACTTCATCATTCAGAATACATCCATTCTCGTCTCTTATAGCATTCATTATAGGCTGTTTTGTATTTCCCCTGGCAGTTCCTACGAGTTTCCAGAACATTTTTATGTTAGCCTGGAAATTATCAGATATCCTTCTATCATTCTTATCCGTTCTTTCTTTCTTTTTCCTTTCAACAACTTCTTTTACTCTTATTTAGACGTCTAAATTCTGCCTTTTTTCTTTCAATCTCATCATTCATACCAGAAGAATTATCAGCTTTGGTTGCTAGTAAATCTAACCATGCTTTCTTCTTTGATTCAACTTCCACCCGTACCTCATCATCCCACCACAATGTATTACTTTTCTTTTCATTTGTTCTCTTACTTACACCACATATTTCGGTGGCGGCATCCACCAAACCTTTCTTAATACTATCCCACACAGTATTCAAGTCTAAATCATTCATACACAACTCGTTCAAACATCTAATATTTCCTCTCAGTCTACATATATACTTCTCTTTCACATCTTCATCTTGTAACTTCTCTATTCTTATACGCTGTAACGCAGTGGTAGACACAGATGTCCGATGCCGCCAACGCTTGAAAAGACCATTAATTCGACATAAGACCAAGTAATGATCCGTCCCTACGTTGGACCCCCGGTATACCCTTGTATCTACGACTGCGCTCCTCATTCTTTCATCCACAATTACGAAATCTATCATGCTTCTATCGTCACCTCTTTCCCATGTATACATGTGAATCTTCTTATGACGAAAAAAAGTATTCGTCACAAAAAGATTCTTTTCCACACATACGGTGAGGAGGTCTTCACCATTTTCATTTATACTTTCATCACCAAACGTTCCCAATATCCTTTCATAACCAGACCTCTTCACCCCAACCCTTCCATTAAAGTCTCCTAACATAATAATATTTTCATTTTCCTTACATTTTGTCAACACCATCCTTACCATGTCCCAAAACTGCTCTCGGATGTAAGTGGGCTTAGACATGTCTGGGGCGTACACCCCTAGCAGGAACAGCTTCTTTAAGCCCACTTTCATTCGTATCCATAGCAGCCTCTGGCTTACACATTCATATTCTTTCACACATTTTATTATATTATTTTTATTATAAAACACCTTTGTTAGTACCTTTATTCGCAAATAAAGAATTGATTAATTGATCGGTATTATATAAAATTATATAAAAACTAAAACATCTATTGCAGTGAATCATAATACACTTCCAGCAAGAATCTCAAGAAAATTTAGCAAGCATCAAATTAATAATGCCTATGAAACTGGAGGTTAAGGTAAATCTAAGGACACCATGCACTTGAAAACTAAATTTAAGGCTGCTGTGAAATGCATATATTCAAAATTTCAGATTTCCAGCTCATCGGGAAGTTATTTTAAAATCATTTACTAAATTGCACCTGCAATGACAGACAAACAAAAAAGTGACTTTATAAAATTGTGGTAAAATAATTATTAGTCATTCTTCACAGGTTTTACCTCAACACATAAATCTAATATTTTAATTCATGTTGCATGAATTAAAATATTAAATGAAATATAAATGAAAGCACTTACTTTGTACATGAAAAAATTGATAATTTCCATCCTTTTAAAAAAAAAGATATGGACAGTACTATTTACACTATAAATACTCCTGTAATGACTCCAGTTAAGCTTAAAATGTATATGTAAAAGTGGTGATAAAAAACTTTTTTTACATATACATTTTAAGCTTGACCGGAGTGATTAAAGGAAGTATCCACGTACTTTTTTGTTTCGTAATCTGTTCGCTTAACCATAAGGCTACCGTCGCTTCTTCATTATAGGAAGAAAATGTCAAATCACAACCATTGGTGGGTTTTTTGACGATGGCAGTACCAAAAGGCTCACACCTTGAACGTTACTTCCTGTTGCCAGTCATGATTTTTTATACAACAAACAGTTTACCTGACAGTAAGTGCATGTTATGACCCTAAGACATCTAACATCTATTCTCAATTAAGAATCAAAAGATGCATTGTCACTCCTTGGGGCTAAGATTTGTTACCAATAAGGAAGGTCTCTGGGCACAGCTGCATTATGCTGCTAGGCATGAGCCCCACTAACTAATTCAAAGTCTTATCATTACTATTTACTACTCAAAGTCGGAACATCAAACTTACCCTTTAACGTACCCTTTGGTAAATTGTCCCATTTAAAATGAAGGCCCCAATTAAAACCGCCCCTTACTAAGGGACTCGCGGTATACTCAAATGTATCAGCATTAATAACATCAATTATGGGAGCAACAGCCCGAGGAGAATATCGCGTAGAAATCCCATCAACTCCCTCAGAGAGTCGTGCTAGCAGCGGCGGCAGCCAATCCACGTTAACTTCTATATGTGAGTCCAAGAACACTAATACCTGATGAAAATACGACTACATTATCTATCCAATAAAATAGTCACATACAGTCGATTTGTCAATCATGCGGTAAATGTAGGATAAAATACAACAAATACAAATAAAAATTATACTTGTATGAATAATATAGTTTAGTGGTTTATCTCTTATATTCGGTCAAGTTAAAAATAATTTGATGGATAAGTTTTATTTGACGATAGATAAATTGGATTTCAAATTGATATTTTTATTTTATTTATAGTTTAATTATAAATTCTGACCAATGAGACCAAAAGAATTAGAAGAAAATACTCACCTCACCAACACTATTATCAGCACCATATAATCTCGCGCGAATCAACCCCTCTCTTTTACTTGTCCTTAGTAATCTTATATTTACCACATTTCTCAAACTCAGTTGTTTATCACTTGATTTCTTATCTACATTAACATTATTATCATCATCGTCTATGTAATCAACAAAATTTTCTCCATCTATGTTATTTGTTTCTAACATTTCCTCATCCTTTCTAATCATACTATTTAGTTTGTTTACAACTTTTTGAAGGTCATCATGCAATCCATCCAAATCACTGAAGTCATCAACTAAAATTATCTCTTTTAAATATTCCTGATCTGTGCGATCCAGTATGGAATGAACTGATCTCATAAGGGTCTCAAAATGTTCATTGTAAAAGCAGATAATAATTGACGCTTTTGGCAATTTATTTACATATTTTTGAGTTCGACACCTGTGTAAAAAACATAAAGGGTGAGAAGAAGTGCTGGTAAGTGTTGCCGAAATATCCATATTTAATCATCTCTTTTGTTTAATTAATTTAAAAAGTTCTTAGAGTATAATAATGAACAAGTCTTTATATGACCATATTAAATAATATGAGTCTTAACAAAGACTAGCCTTCTCGCAGGATAGAATTATAGTGTCCAAGTTTATGGCCCAAACACAAATGCATTCTCTATTCACACTCTCATGGTCCGATGGGATGGTTATATATAATAAACACTGCCAAGTGCTACTACATTGCAACTGCTAAACTGCAACTGCAAGCTGACTCTGGGCTGATACTGAGAATTTCATGACTGAAAAACCCAATATCTGATTTTGGCCCAACCCGGGGTTCGACAGGATTAACAACTGTGTATCAACCACAAGACCAATGAGGCAGTTTCATACTACACTTATAAAGACTAACAATGTCCTTTCAGCCAATACTCAAGCATGGTTATGACTTCTTTAATCTATAAACTGCACAAAAGCTAATAGGTTGTTCGGAAAGTCATTTTGTTTCTTCCCAACAGAGGACATAAATGTAATTTTACACAGCTAACTTTACACTAAGTCGCATAATCATTATATATTTTGACAACTATTATTTTTTTTATATTGCTTATATACAGTAGTTTTTGGTTGATCACTTACAAATATGGAAAGTGAAAAGCAACAAAGTAAAAATGCTGAGCAAGCCTGAAAAACATTATCCAACATGCATGGAGAAGACGTATTGACAGAATGCAAGTGCTATAACTTGTTTGCAAAATTTCGATGAGGTAATTATGATGTTGAAGATGCACCATGTTAAGAAAAAAAAATGCACCATGTTCTGGAAGGCCAATTGAAGTTGATGAAGATGCAATAAAGACAATAATTGAAGCAAACTGGCGAATAATAACTCGTGAGATTGTTGAGAGGTTAAATTCGAACATTCATTATAATTTGAAACACCTAGGTTTAATCGAATAGCTGGACATATATGTTCCTCATGTTCTTACAGAAAGAAATTTGTGCCGTTCTAGATCCTACGCAAATTTGTTAACTCCCCAAAAGCTTTTACAGCTATTATGAGATATAGTGCGACACCCATCATATTCTTTATATCTGACCACCTTCCGATTATTATTAGTTCGAGTCAAAAATCACTTGGGCCAGTTTTTTGCCAGCAAAGAACAAAAATTTTCAGCATGTAAAATCATGCTTCTGCACGAAAAATGTATTGGATCTTGGAACTTAATAAAATATTTATTCATCATAAAAAATTGTCTTTCAATTTCATAAAAAAAAAACAAATGACTTTCCGAACAACCCAGTATTATAGTGTTCCAATTGTATGCTCAAACCTAGTATAATTCTATATATTATAATACTTTGCAATGAGATTGACTGTAAAATTAAGATTGCGAGAAGTATAATACATACAATTTGTTCCTAGTGTCTGGTAAACCTCTGTGATTTCCAATTCTCTGAGAGATAAGTGCATTAAATGCATGCAAGTTGTAACCCTTTTCACGAATTCTTACATCTTCAGAATTACGAATTATACCATATTGAACTTCTGTAAATAATACAAAATATAGTAAAAGTTAATGAAATTTTTAAATAATAAATCTTAAAATTTTTCTTGTAAAGAGAAACATTTTTTAAATATTCACAAAAGTACAAAAATATGTAAGGTTTTTAAATAATGTTTGGCTAATTTGTTTTAATACATACTATTTTGATTAAAACTAATTTTACAGATTTTATCGCGTTTAATTTTTAATTATTTATAATTATTTTTATTTGGAATTAAATATAATTAAAAATTAAACGCGATAAAATCCGTAAAAGTAGTTTTAATCAATGTATAGTGTTTGCGTAAATATAAGAAATCATTACATACTATTTCAGTAGTAAAAGAACTTTTTGTGACCGACATTTACATTATTTATTTATATCATTAAAGTAGTGTCAGACCGAAGGTTGATGATTTCTGGCCCAAGCCGAAGGTTTAAATACCTTAAGAAACTCAGTTCAAAATTGGCTAAAATTAATAATATAAATAATTTTAAGACTTAAATTTAAGGTTTATACTGACTGTCTACTATAAAAAAGTAATTTTAACTCATATTTCTAGAAGTTGAACAGTACTTTCTTTTTTTATGCTTGCCAGACCTTCAGCTTCTCCCAAAACTTTTGCCCATTTTGTCAGAGGTAGAAGGTTTTGTCAACAAGCTTAGAGTCAAACTAATGGTAAGTGACTACTGCCCCCCGAGGACACCTGCCACTAACTTTTAACTAAGATAGAAATTTCTGCCCTAACAACTTACATACAATGTCACACAGTAATTATTATAATGCTGGCTCTCTATATTAAATCATTGCTACCATGTAGGTCACTTTTTACATCAATAGTTTGTTTTGTTAAATTTTTCTTTAAAAAGTAATAGTAACTAGTCAATGAAATCAATATAAACATAAATGATCATATTATTAAAAATAACGCAATCATAGATACATAGTACATGACAGAAAAACTATGAAAGTAATACTAAGGTCACACTGGATTAATAATAGTGTTCTACTGGTGTCAAAAATCTTTACCTTAAATCCAATTTTATTACACTTAGGAAATTTGAAATTAAATTTAGAAGAGGTAGGACAGTTGTAATGTGTAAATAGTTCATTATTTGTAGTTTTTTTTTAAATATTAGTAATCTTATTAGTTAACATTACTAATATTCCTTTTAACCACTCCTGGTAAGCTTGAAACGCTTGTGTTAGGAGCGGCTCACGACAGTAGTCAAATGGCGTATTCGAACCCACAACCTTTTGAGTTCATGATCCATGCCCTGCTATTAGGCTACTGACGCTTTTTAAGTTGCCACACACACATTTGCCAGTGATTTATACAAATACTATATATATATATAAAAAAAAATTTTAAGTCATGGGCCATTTGCCACCAGGTGGTTGTAGACAAGCACTGGCTATACATGAAAAAAAAACAAGCCCTCACTCACATTGCTCACTTTTTAAGCAACATACTAACAATTACACAAAATTTAAAGTAGTCATAAAAATTTATAGTTCATTTATTGATTAAACAATATCTTATATCAAATATCTCACCTAAGCTCTTATCGGGCTTGGCAGATAATTTAATTCCAAGTTGTTTGGCAAACTTCTCTTTAAGCATCATTTTTCTTTTGTATTCAGCTCGATTTTTCTGATATTTCCACATTTTACCAACATATTTATTGTTAGCAGCTGGGCTATCATAAAGCATACTCTTTCCTTCTAATTCTGCAATAGATTTGTCATTATTTTTTATTCTGTTTTTCTCTTCAGAATTGATTAAACGATAATGCATCTTATTTTCTGCATTTGTTACAACAGTTTCGCCTAAAATTAATAAAAAGTAAATTGGTAAGATAGTTTTATATAATTATATGATAGTGAATTTTTCAATGGTATTTATGATTATCAATTTTAATACAAAATTGATATTATAATAATTATGTAGGCTGGTTAATTTTATTTTATACTTACCACTCATATTTAACAACCAGTAAAGGTATAAAGAAATGCTCCATGTCGCCGAAGCAAATATTATACCCCATAGGAAAGAATTGTTTATTTTTCCCATAATTTTTGATTAGTTTTACCCTGAATTTTGAGATTTCGCCCGCATGAGCAATTGGCGGAGTAGTATGGCTTATGCTGATAGATTCTAATTTCTGTGACTAGACCACAGAACACTATTACTCCTAGCGGAGTGGACTAGACTAGAGATGTGCCCCTCACTCATGAGGTGCCTCGTTTGAGGTACTCGTGATCGCAAATTGAAAGAGTTACTCGATTTTCAACATTGAACCACCTCACTCGTTCACGCGTCCTCACTTAAAAATTGACATAGAAATTATTGACACGAGTACTCGCGACTCGCGAGCATCGCGATTGAGTGAGCTTAGTGAGCGAATGAACCGACTTAGAAATCCATATTTAGTACAGAATAAATTAGAGAATGAGTGAGGTGAGGAATCGAAATTTTGAAAACATTAAACATTATGATTGTGTTATGTACTTAATGAAATAATGATGTTTGGTGTGTGTATGTGTGTGTGATACTGATGTTTGGTAGGATGTTATTTAAATTAAGAAGAGATACAAAAAATTGTGTGAAATGAGTTGCAGGGTAAATAAAACACACGAAGCAAATAAACTGAGTGTATTAATTGAGATCAAGGATAAAAAGTAAAAAAATAATCGTATTGGAAAAAACGCGTTTTTCACAATCACAACAATATCAACAATTACTTCACCACACGTGCACCTCCAAGGTCAACATAGGTAAAGTAACATTATTAGTTACTCAAAACGAATTAATAGAGAAAATATTTTTATTTCTGCTATTAATATGAATCTCTAAACGTTAACTATGAACTCTAAAAACATAAGCATTAGATTTTTATTCAAGTGTCATTGATTCGTTTATTTTGGCGGAATTCATGAGCGAAAGAAAATAACGTGAGTGAGGGAGACGTAAAAATCGGAATCGTGAGTACTCGTGAGTCGACGCACCCGTCCGCCTCTCTTGCCGCTGCCTCGGACAATCGGCTGAGTTCGATTCGAGCTCGGGCTCGGCTCGTGAGGTGAATTGAATACGCTGACGTACGATACCTCGCCTCAAATGAGGGGTCCCTCGTGAGGACCTCGCGAGGTAAAACGAGGTGCTCCCTCAACCTCATATAAAAATGATGAGTTACCCATCACTAGACTAGACTCAGTCGATACTGGATACGTAGGTATAGGACCACTAATAATTTTAAATTAAACAAGACAGAAACAGAAACTGGATTTTATTTTCATTCATGCTGCTTTTTATTTTTTTATTTAACTGGCTTTACGGCTCTGGGTTCTAGCCCTTCTAAGCCGATCATTTCTTTCAGAATCTTCATTTTATGTATTTTGTCTTCACAATATGCTGATGCGTCAAATTGCGAAGTTTTTGGGAGTTTTGACAACAGCTCAACCCAGCGGACTGTTGATGACGACAGCCACTTAAATTCATAAGGCGCCCAAGCGATCAAATTAACTTGAGGTTTATATCAACATCAAAGCACTTGTTTCGTCGTTTTCTTTAATAGTTCACACGCGCAGACACTTAATTCACAAAATCGCATCACTTTTACGAATCAAAATCCACTTCAAACTATTATTCAAGCGACAAAACAGGAGCGACAATCCGTTGACGGCCAAGTTCCCGCAAAAAATCATTCATGATTCTTGATGCTTTGTGCCACAACCACAGAGTACTTTGCTAGTATATACACAGTAATCTATAACCTTGTGCTGCCTGCATAGTCTTTAGTGTGACCATCTTCAGATGTCTTTAAAATACAGATCCTGCCTTACTTTGGTAAAAAACCTGCCAAATTCTGCAGTGAAAAATGCCTAAATACCGCCAACTTTATTTACCATTGTATTAAACGAAGAAAAGTAAAAATAAACATTTATAATGCTATATTTTTATTAAATTATAATTAAACATTGCAGATAGCACCATATTCTTCGATGGTCAAACGGTTTGATTCAAACCTCACTTTCCCGTGTTTGACAAAACGCTTTGAATTCGCATCAAACAGAAGCGTACAGTGTTGCTTCAAAGTTCAGCAAGAAAGTCCTATTGTGGTTTTAAAAAATGCCGTCGACTATGGATAAAGATTTTCTCGCGTTTATTGTATTATTGTCTTGCTAATTAAATTTGTTTATTGAATGTGATACAAACATAATACGAGAAGTACAGGGAAATTCCCCACATGCTGGTGAAGTATTTAGGGTTGCCATTTTAGACATTTTGAGTTGACATAGTGAAACCTATTTTTCGTACCCTAATACTGCCAAATACTGGCAGGTATTATAAAACGTCAACCGATCATACCAAAGGCTAAAATAAGTGGCCAATCCTACCAAAATGGCAGGAACCTGCCTCATATGGTCATACTGATAGTCTTGTGTAGTGAATAGAGATGTTCGATAATCATCGATGTTAACGCATCGAAACATCGATGTCAATGAACCCATAATCGAAATAGGAACTTGTGAACAATGGGAACCCGCGAAATCAGTATCAACAAAATTTTGCATCTCCTAATAAAGGTTTAAAATTTTGAATAATTCAGAATTTCTAAACGCATCAATCACTTAGAAAATATCATTATGGTGTGTCAAACTTAACTGTCAAGTGAGAACTGTAATGTCAGAGTGTCGTTACTCGTTGTCGGTTGTCGTCTAATAATTATTGTACATAAATTGATATTCAAATTAATTGTTTTTTCCCTTACCGTTTATACTCACATAGTTTTGAGACATTATGTATCTACACCATTCAATTATATTTAGCTGCTTTTTTGAGTTTGTCATAACGAGTTTATTGTTTGCTTGAAAATTATGAAAATAAATCACTAAGTGAGCGTGAGCATAGACAATTTCCCAGCATTAGTGCATTCGACTGTGTGACTCTGTGTGATACTTACAGCTTGGACTGCCAGATTAAAAATTGTGAACAAAAGTGATGGAAAATTCTATTATTTTGTTTTGATGTAGTTTGTTAATATCATATTTTTTTATTTCACAATAGGAGTATTAGACATAAAAACTACGTCGAAATCGTAAATTAGGTCTATTTATGAGTGTATAAGGAACATTAAAGATTAAAATATATAATATTCATCATCATCGGCAAAAATTTTAGACTAAAATATAGTCCAATATTTTTTATATTATAACAAATGAACTTGATATTTTGTAAATACCCATTTTTATAGCTGTTTCACACTTAATTACTATTTATTTCTTTTTTTTCATTAATAATAAACCATTAACAACATGACTGAGTTTTTACTTATCTAATTATAAGGTACAGTTGCAAAAAAACTTCGATAATGGCCGACATCGATGTTTTCAGTGGGATATGCGTCACAACAATCGAACATCGATGTTAAGCTATCGATACTAACATCGATGTCATCATCGATGTTTCTGCAACATCGACCATACCTAGTCTTGTGGTTGCGTAGTTCGAAAACAATGAACGAATGGGAAACGTATCTTAGCCGTAGACAGAGAAACCTAATCTTAGCACTGTACTGTATTATAGAAGAAACGTTTACAATCACTGATTCATACGCTGATTGGTCTATTAGTTTTTTTTGTACGCCGAATGAAAATGCAATCTAAAACATACGAAAGGGAGTGAACGAGAGAATCAGTGAGACGTTAAAGAATAGACGTTAGTTTAATTAATGCAATAATGTCTATTTTAGCATATCATCCAAAAAGATGCAAGATTCGTTGTGTTCGCAAATTATTGTACTTATGATAATTTTGTTTGTCTTTTTTTGTATTTTAAAAAACGTCAAAATTAATAAACAGACACAAACAATTGATAGGCATCGTTTCGGCACTTGTAAAAAAATTTAATAAAGTTGAAGGTATGTTATAATTATTACAACTATTGAGGAGAGTTTTATGTTTTTTTTTTAAATTATCGTTTTAATATTAGTTTCGTCGTTGGATACTTTTCATTTTCGCATGCTATGGATATGGGATTTTATTTCACTAATGCTAATTGTATTTTCAACACTAATTTGCTTTAGACTTACAATTTGACCAAGAAATTATTGAATGTGTGTGTGCGCGTACGAGCAATCAAACAACATTACGACTCAAGCAGATATCGAGTATCGATTGACTGAGATAGTCATCCCATTCCATCAGATTACAGTTTACACTGCTTATTGGTACTGATGACCGAATAGAGCTAATAGAACTAATAAAACGAACGGGCTCACTGTCCGAAATGAACTAGTATGGAGCGATCTTTAAAGTAACCGAGCAGACAAGATCAATTTTGCTGCATGGATAAATAAATTTCTATTAGACATGTGTCAATCATGAACGATTCGTTTGTTTGAGCTGGTACACTTAAAAGTATTGATGGTTAATTCATCTGTTTTTGAATGTTCCGGATTCAGTTAAAACCAATCACAAACAATTGACGGAACATTTTAACTCATGATTGGAGTGAATTGTGAATGAGTCGAAAACTGACCGAATCCCGAATGATCTTAGTGAATTGTTTTTAGTGTAGGGTACCTATGCAATGCAGTGCATGAATTCATAAGTGTTGCCAAGTTCGGCGAATTTTAGCTATTAAGGCTAGTTTTAAAGTAATCAGAGCGACCATAATTGTTATTTTCGACTAGTTGCTTAGTAGGCTGTCTCAGTAAGAAGGCGAAAAATATTCTATAAATCTTTTATTAGAAATAAATAAAATGTAGATTTTGCAACTGGCTTTATGAGTATTTTTTTATTCCATTGTGGTCTATTTCTACGCTTACAATCCTTATTACTTCTGTCGAATAATATAACACTAAAGGCTACATTATTTTAAACTAAAGCATTTTCTTAAAATTGGGTAACTTTTTAAGACGTTCAACTTTTACTTGGCATCAAATTTTTGGCAACTTGGATTCTAGGGCCATGACTAGACTAGGAAACATTACACTCTACGCTAGTTGCCCTCCGCACGCCGCACCGTTAGTCGATAACAATCGACTAACATGGATTGTTATCAAATTTTATCGACTAATACTGAACAACCGACTAATTCGATTAGTTTCAGAAATATTTGCATAGTCGCTCTATTGGCTACACAATGAAGCGCGTGTTGTACCAAACTAATTGAATGTGTACGATCATATTCATGTTTGTATAGTGTCGCCTCTACACCTTGGCCAACACAGTGGCGAATGGAGTGGCGAATATATTGGCCGAGAGTTGGTGACGGCGTCCACATGTTGGAAGGTCGTTCAGTTTACTTCGGTTCGGGCCAATGTGCGGACGAATTTATAAGCACCGTGGCGCAGTGGCTCAGCAATGAGTGGCTGCGCCGGGCGCCGCGCGTTTGATCCCGCACGGAACAAGTATTTGTATGTCCTACAAATAATTGTTTCGGGTCTGGATGTGTGTCCTTGTGCAATTTATGTTTGTAAGCTGCCTGCGCGATACGGGAAAAAATCCTAGTGTGGGGTTAACGCTTTTATAAAAGAATTATAAAATAATAGTATATATTAATGGGGTTGTAAATAGATATACGATATACGGTTAGCTTTATTTATTCTTTACATGCATCATAAACTGGAATAAATACCATTAATAAGAACTTAACTTATTTTAAGTTAAAGGAGTTATAATCGATTAGTTTATGTTTTAAAATTGGGTTTTGATTTTAAAGTTTAGCAAAATATGTATTTGCATTTCTATCAGACATTTGATGTATATAAAAAACACCTTATAATTTATTTGGTAATTTATTTATTTTATGAGAAAGACAAAAACAATAGCAATAAATATAATTAACACTGACTTAATAATAGGTACTAATTATAACTTAGAACATAAATGAAAAACTCATGACGAGCAAAGTGGCTCAGGACCATGCTTTGCGGCGGTCTGTGGAGGAGGATGTTCAGTAGTGGACTTGTGAAGAACTGTAATGATGATGATGATTCGAAAACTTGCACGATTAAATTATAAGAAATCGACGCTTTTTTATATAGGATAGGGTGACAAACGAGCACACAGTTCACCTGATGGTAAGTGGTTGCTGTGGCCCACAGACATCTACATCTATCCTCGATTACGAATCAAAATGCAGATGCGTTGTCACCCGTGAGGACTAAGATGAAATGCCTCGTTTCCTTTAAAAAGTGTCTCTGGTTCTCTACACTCACTATACGAAACACAGCATCATTAAGCTACTATTTTACATTGATATTCTGTGAGAGCGTGGTCCTTCCTCGGTCGAACCGACCCATTCGTGCTACAACTATACTTCTAATATAACTGCATGGTTCTACCACGTATAAACGACGTGCTTCATTTTTTTTTTCATTTTAAAATTGTTCTCGTAATAATCTGATTGTAAATAAATGTTCATTATTTTTTTGATAAATAGCTCATCGATTAAAACAAATGTTTAAAAATAATTAAATCGCGCTAATTAAAGTAGTAGGAATGTTTAAAGTGGAAATTGCACTAAAAGGCTGATCAGAATTCCCACAGATCTTCCCTTTCAATTCAAAATTTCCTATTTAGCTCAGTTTCTTTTCAATTCCAAATGCTGCACCTCTGAAGGACCTATTAAGCTCAGTTTCCTTTCAACTCAAAAGGCTGCATCTCTGACGGATCTTTTATTTGGCTCAGTTTCCTTTCAATTCAGAAAACTGTGCATATCTGACGAATCAATTTAGCTCAGTTTCTTTTCAAAAGTCTGCATCCCTGACGGATAATTACGCTCAGTTTCCTTTAATTAAAAAATATCCCATTTCCATTTGAAATAAACAGGCTATTTTCATTCTTTCCTATACGCTGCGATTCAAAAAAAAATTCAAAAAAATTTCCCAGTGACCATGCGAAGCCCGCGGCGTAACAGCTAGTATTGAATAAAAAAGTTTCTGTTTCTGTTTCTGATAACTATGACGATGACTATAACGATGATGATGACGATGATCTGATGATGTAAATGACGATGACGACGACGATGACGATGACAATGACGATGACGATGAGGATGATGATGACGGTGACAATGACGATGATGACGACGGTGATGGTGACGATGATGATGACGATGATGATGTCGATGAACGACGACGATGACGAAAGTGATAACGATGACGATGACGATGATGATGACGATGATGATTACGATGATAATGACGATGACGATGCCGATTATGATGACGATGACGATGATGACAACGTTGATGATGACGATAACGATGTCGATGACGATGACGATGACGCTGTCGATGACGATGACGATGACGATGTCGATAACGATGACGATGACGATGTCGATGACGATGACGATGACGATGACGATGACGATGACAATGACGATAATGATGACGATGACGTTGACGATAATGATGCCGTTGACGACGACGATGACGATAACTATGACGATGACTTAAGATGATGATGACGATGATCATGACGATGATGATGACGATGACGATGTTGATGACTGTGACGATGATGATGACGATGACGATGACAATATTTATGATGACGAAGACGATGACGATGACGATGATGTTCACGGTAGCTGTGATGATGACGTTAACGATGATGATGATGATGATGACGATGTCGATGACGATGATGATAACGATGACAGTGAGGATAATGATGACGATGACGATGATGATGACGATGAAAATGAGGATAATGATGACGACGACGATGATGATGACGATGACGATGATGACATTGACAATGATGATGAAGATGACGATGACAATGACGATGAGGATGATGATGACGATGACAATGACGATGATGACAGTGTGATGACGATGATGATGACGATGATGATGTCGATGACGATGACGATGCCAATTAAGATGACGCCGGTGACGATGATGATAACAATAAAGATGTCGAAGACGATGATGATGTCAATGATGATGACGATGACGATGATGATGAGGATGATGATGACCATGACAATGACTATGATGACGATGGTGATGACGATGTTGATGACTGTGACGATGTCGATGACGATGACGATGACGATGACAATGACGATGACGATGAGGATGATGATGACGGTGACAATGACGATGATGACAACGGTGATGATGACGATGATCATGACGATGATGATGACGATGACGATGTTGATGACTGTGACGATGACGATGACAATGACGATGAGGATGATGATGACGATGACAATGACGATGATGACAGTGTGATGACGATGATGATGTCGATGACGATGATGATGCCGAATAAGATGACGACGGTGATGATGATGATAACGATAATGATGTCGAAGACGATGACGATGTCAATGATGATGACGATGACGATGATGATAAGGATGAGGATGACCATGACAATGACTATGATGACGGTGATGATGACGATGATGATGACAATGACGATGTCGATGACGATGACGATGACGATGACAATGACGATGACGATGAGGATGGTGATGACGGTGACAATGACGATGATGACAACGGTGATGATGACGATGACGATGCCGATTATGATGATGATGACGATGACGATGACGATGATGTTCACGGTAGCTGTGATGATGACGTTAACGATGATGATGATGATGATGATGATGATGATGACGATGTCGAAGACGATGATGATGACGATGACATTGAGGATGATGATGGCGATGACGATGATGATGACGATGACGATGATGACGCTGACAATGATGATGACGATGACGATGGCACCGACGATGAGGATGATGATGACGATGACGATTATGATGACGACAATGATGAAGAGGATGTCGATGATCATGACGATAACAGTGACGATGGTGACGACGGTGATGATGACGATGACGATGACGATGACGATGTCGAAGACGATGACGATGACGATGATGATGATGACGATGATGATGACGATGACGATGATAACGATGACGATGAACATGACGATGACAATGACGATGATGACGACAGTGATTATGACGATGATGATGACGATGACGATGATGTTGACGATGCCGATGAGGTTTTTGATGACGATGAAGATAATGATGACGATGACAATGATGATGACGATGATGATGACGATGGAATGATGATGATGACGATCACAATGACGATGAGGATGATGACGACCATGATGATGACGATGACGATGACGATCCCGATTAAAATGACGACGATGGCGATGCCGATTAAGATGACGACGACGGTGACGATGACGATGACGATGATGATAAGGATGACGATGACGATGACGATTACGCTGACGATGATGATGACGATGACGATAACGATGATGATGACGATGACGATGAAGATGACGATGACGATGACGATGACGATCATAATACGATGACGATGACGATGACCGTAACGATGATGATGACGATGACGATAATGATGACGATGACGATAATGATGACGATGATGAAGAGGATGTCGATGATCATGACGATAACAATGACGATGGTGACGACGGTGATGATTACGATGACGATGACGACGATGACGATGACGATGATGATGATGACGATGATGATGACGATGATGATGACGATGATGACGATGACAATGACGATGATGACGACGATGATTATGAGGATGATGATGACGATGACGATGTCGATGACGATGACGATATGATGACGTCGTGATGTTAATGATGACGATGACGTTGTTGATGACGATTATGATTACGACGATGATGATGAGGATGTCGATGATCATGACGATAACAGTGACGATGGTGACGACGGTGATGATGACGATGACGATGTCGAAGACGATCACGATGATGATGATGACGATGACGATGTCGATGACGATGACGATAATGATGATGGCGATGATGATGAGGATTACGATTAGGATGACGATGACGATGATGATGTCGATGATTATGACGATGACGATAATGATGATGACGATGATGTTGATGATGATGATGATGTTTATGACGATGACGATGACGATAATGATGACGATGACGATGGAATGATGATGATGACGATCACAATGACGATGAGGATGATGACGACGATGATGATGACGATGACGATGACGATGCCGATTAAGATGACGACGATAGCGATGCTGATTAAGATGACGACGACGGTGACGATGACGATGACGATGACCATAACGATGATGATGACGATGACGATGATTATGACGATGACGATAATGATGATGACGATGATGATGAGGATGACGATGAAGATAATGATGACGATGACGATGACGATGAAGATGTCGATGACGATGACGATTACGCTGACGATGATGATGACGATGACGATAACGATGATGATGACGATGACGATGAAGATGACGATGACGATCACAATGCGATGACGATGATGATGACCATAACGATGATGATGACGATGACGATAATGATGACGACGATGATGAAGAGGATGTCGATGATCATGACGATAACAATGACGATGGTGACGACGGTGATGATGACGATGACGATGACGACGATGACGATGACCATGACGATGACGATTACGATGATGATGATGATGACGATGACAATAACGATGATGACGACGGTGATTATGACGATGATGATGACGATGACGATGATAACATTGACAATGATGATGACGATGACGATGACAATGACGATGAGGATGATGATGACGATGACAATGACGATGATGAAGTGTGATGACGATGATGATGACGATGATGATGTCGATGACGATAACGATGCCGATTAAGATGACGACGGTGATGATGATGATAACGATAAAGATGTCGAAGACGATGACGATGTCAATGATGATGACGATGACGATGACGAAGACGATGATGATAACGATGACGATGACGATAATGATGTGTTAAGTGGCTGACGATGAATTACGTGCATTCCTATACCCGACGATGATAATGACGATGGCAATGACGATGACGATGATTATGATGATGACAATGACGATGACGATGACGATGAGGATGATGATGACGATGAAAATGACGAAGACAACGACGGTGATGATGACGATGATGATGCGATGACGATGATGAGTGGACGATGACGATGACGATGACAATGAGGATATTGATGACGATGGCGATGTCGATTAGGATGACGATGGCGATGTCGATGAGGATGACGATGACGATGACGATATTTATGATGATGAGGATGATAATGACGGTGACAATGACTATGATGACGGTGATGATGACGATGATGATGACGATAACCATGTCGATGACGATGACGATGACGATTATGATGACAATGACGTTGACGATGATGATGACGATGACAATGACGATGACGATGAGAATGATGATGACGACGATGAAGATAATGATGTTCTAAGTGGCTGACGATGATTTAAGTGTATTCCTAGACCCGACGATGATGATAACAATGACGATGTCGATGACGATGAAGATGACGATCACGATAAGGATTATGATGATGATGACAATTACGATGATGACGACGGTGATGATGACGATAACGATGTCGATGAACGATGACGATGACGAAAATTATGTCGATGACGATGACGATTACGCTGACGATGATGATGACGATGACGATAACGATGATGATGACGATGACGATGATGATGACGATGACGACCATAATGCGATAACGATGACGACATAACGATGATGAGGACGATGACGATGATGATGACGATGAAGGAGCGATGATGATGAGGATGACGATGACGATGATGATGACGATGACAATGACGATGACGATGACGATAATGATGACGATGACTATAATGATGACGATGACGATGACGATGATGATGATGACGAATGACGGTGATGGCGATTACAATGATAATGACGATGATGATGATGATGCTGATTACGCCATAGCATCGTCATCGTTGTTATTTATATATCTTCGCCCGGGCACAGGCGTCCTGTAATTTCTAAGAGACCTTTGGGCTTAGATTTTAGGGCAAGGAAATGTCTGCTGCGCTGCTCTTATGCGTGTCGGCGGACTACACATGTCTTCGAATTGGTGTATTTTCATTGGTGCCAGCGGGGATCGGACCAAAGTGCAACAGCAAGCTCTTAGCTCCTGATTTAATAAATAAAACGTGAGAGGTGTTCAAGAATGAACTTTTACAGGCTGAATAAAAAGAAGAAATCGAATCCATCCTTTAGTTTAGAACATAATGTAAAAAAATATCAATTAATATATAAATATTATAAAAAGAGCCATGGTAGCTCAGGAGCTATGGCTTGTTTGAAAGTACGTGAACGATCCGAGTTCGATCCTAACCGGCACTACTAAAATTGTTAAATTAAATTTAATTGTAACTGATGATTTACAAAGTGTTTTTGGTGAATGAAAACATCGTAAGAAAACCTGCATGTTCGAGAAATAAAATGTTTTGAGGAGACATATGAAATAAAAGAGAAGCGCGGCAGTCTAATTGCATCA